TCAGTCGAGCGCGGAAACGGGTTCATACGCACTAACAATGTAAGTCACCTCTACGACCCAATAACTAACACCACAGACAAGAAAAAAAATACGCATTCAAAAGGTGCAGCGTATAAAACTCGAATAAGATGCAAATAAATTCCGAATAAATAACAGGGTATTAGTCGAGCGCAGAAACTGGTACATATGCACTAACAGCTATTTCAAATCAACGAGCCCAGAACTAATATCAGAGACGTGAAAAGAAATCATTAAAAAGGGGCAACATATAAAAAGCGAACAAGGAACGAAAACATATCGAATAAGAAACAGGGTATCCGTCGAGCGCGGAGACGAAGATATACCTCCAAACAGGGTAATTTCACCTCACTGAACCCGTAACTAACACAGAGACAAGAAAATAAAAGAAAAGAAGGCATTAAAAAGGTGCAACGTCAGTCGAGCGCAGAAACTGGTAAATAAGCGCTAACAGTGTTAATTCAACTCCACGAACCCAGAGCTAATACCATGCAGAGACATAAAAAGAAATTAAAAAGAGGCAACGTATTAAAAAAACGAATAATGAACGAGTAGATAACTGAGTGTATCCATCGAGCGCATAAACATGGTTCATATGCGCTAACAGGGTTATTTCAACTCCCCGAACCCAGAACTAAAACAAGAGACATGAAAAGAAATAAAAAGAAATCATTAAAAAGGGGCAACGTATATTAAGCGAATAAGGAACGAATAAGTAGCGAATTAGTAACAGGGTATCTGTCGAGTGCAGAAACTATACATATGCGCTAACAGGGTTTTTCAATCCACGAATCCAGAACTAAAACCAGAGACATGAAAAGAATTTCGAAAATTAAAACAAATAATAACAAAGCAAATAAGTAGCGAATAAGTAACAGGGTATCAGTCGAGGGCGAAGACGGGGACATAGGCACCAACAGGGTAATTTCACCTCATCGAACCCAGAACTAACATCAGAAACAAGGAAAGAAAGCATTAAAAAGATGCAACGTATAAAAATCGAATAAGTAGCGAATAAGTAATAGGGTATCAGTCGAGCGCAGAAACTGGTGCATATGTGCTAACAGGGTTATTTTGACTCGAAGAAACTCTTACTAACACCATAGACATTGACAGAAATAAATTAAATCATTAAAAAGTGGCAACGTATACTAAGCGAATAAGGAACGTATAAGTAGCGAATAAGTAACAGGGTATCAGTCGTGCGCGGAAACGGGTACAAAAGCGCTTAGAGAGTAGTTTCACCTCTACGAACCAAATACTAACACCAGAGACAAGAAAACAAAAGAAACGAAAGCATTAAAAGATCTTAAAAAGATGCAACGTATTAAAATCGAATAAAAAACAAATGAGTACCGAATAAGTAACAGGGTATCAGTCGAGCACAGAAACTAGTACATATACGCTAACGGGGTTGATTTTACTCAACATAACCAGAACTAACACCAGAGACATGAGAAAAAAAGAAAAGAAATCATGAAGAAGGGGCAACGTATAAAAAGCGAATAAGGAACGAAAAAGAAACAGGTATCAGTCGAGCGCAGAAACTGGTATACATATGCGCTAACGGTGCTATTTTGACTCCGCGAAAGTAGAACTAAAACCAGAGATATGAAAAGAAATAAAAATAAATCATTAAAAAGGGGCAACTTATAAAAAGCGAACAAGGAACAAATAAGTAACAGGGTGTCAGTCGAGGACGGAAACGGATACATACGCGCTAATATTGTAATTTCACTTCAGTCGAGGACGGAAACGGATACATACGCGCTAATATTGTAATTTCACTTCTACGAAACAAGAACTAACACCAGAGACAAAAACATAAAAGAAAATGGTGCTACGTATAAAAAGCGATTAAGGAACAAATAAGTACCGAATAAGTAACAGGGTATCAGTCGAGCGCAGAAACTGATACATATGCGCAAACGGGGTTATTTTGACTCCACGAAACTAGAACTAACACCAGAGACATGAACATAAATAAAAAGAAATCATTAAAAAGGGGCAACGTATAAAAAGCGAATAAGGAACGAATGGGTAACAGGGTATCAGTCGAGGGCGGAAACGGGTACATATACGCGCTAATATTGTAATTTCACTTCTACAAACAAAGAGCTAACACAAGAGAAAGAGAAAAAAGAAAATAGCGCATTACAAAGGTGCAACGTATGAAAATCGAATAAGGAACAAATAAGAAGTGAATAAATAACAGGGTATCAGTCGAGCGCAGAAACTGGTACATATGCGCTAACGGGTTTATTTTAACTCCAAGAAACAAGAACTAACTAAGTAGCGAATAAAAGAGTTGTATAAGTCTAGTTTCTCGTACAATGGACCAAAAGTATGGAATGCTCTTCCTGGTTCAATTAAAAAATCAAACACAGTATTAAAATTTAAACATAACTACAAATCTATGTACTTTTAACATTACCATGATATTTCTACTGTACTGCCATATATAATAATTGTTTATTGTATTTAAGTTGTATTAAATCTTTATTTATCATTATTATTGAATATGTATTGTTTATTTTTAATGTAATTATTATTGTATTAAGAGAGCCTTATTGAAAATTGGTGTAATCCAAATGAGTTACTCTCTCTAAATAAAGATATTATTATTATTATTATTATTAAGTAACAGGTTATCAGTCGAGCCCGGAAACGGGGACATACGCGCTAACAAGGCAATTTTGCCTCCTCGCATCGATATCTTACACCAGGGTCAACTTCGGAAAGAAAAGAAAGCATTAAAAGGGGGCAACGTATTAAAGAGGGTAGTAATGCCCTTTATCGTCAGGCGTCAAACTGCCATTTTCGGCTACCGTTAGCGTCATATTGGTTAAAATTTTACCGTGATTCGTCAAAATATCCTTGTCGTGATTCGTCAGAGGTCTCAAATAATTATCGTTACCGTATTTTTGGAAAAAAAATTTAACGTGATTCGTCAAAATCTGTCGATTTTTTTAACGTCTAAAAGAAAGTGCACATTTTATCGTCATGCAGCAAAAATTACCGTTAACGTCATTTGGCAAGAATTTTTACCGTTATTCGTCATGAAGGTACCCCCACTGTTACCCCCCTCATTAAAAGCGAATAGTAATAAGAAATAAATAAGGAATAAGTAATGAATAAGGAATAATTAACAAATAGCTAGGTAGCGAATAAGGAATAACTTCCGAATAAGTAACGAATAGGTAACGAATAACAGGAATAGGGAATACGTAACGAATAAAGAATAAAGAATAAGTAAACGAATATGTAACGAATAAGGAATAAATAATAAGTTACGAATAAAGTATTGGGGATAAGGAACCAACTAAGACTTGAATGTAATATATCTTAAAATTCTGTATAAATAATAAATATAAGTCGTAAAATTTGCGCAACGGTACTATAAATATAAGATGGTAATATACGAAGATGTAACAGGAGGGTCGGGCGGCTTTATGTCACCAAACCCTGCTGACTACTAAAAGCTTACGGCTGACTAAGTATCTACTACGCAAGGGAAACAATCCCGTCACACTTCCCCCACCTCAAGAGTCATCATACCATTATGACTCTCACAACACATACCCTAGCTAGAATTCCTCTCTAACCACCGTGGGTTTTTAGTTGGGCGCCAATGTAACCGGAGAGCATGGTTCTACTTGCAAAATCGCGTCTCCACCGGCACCTTTGTGTTACAAGGCAGCGCGTATACCGACTGAGCTAAAGAAGTACTTCCTTAGATCAACCGCTTACGGCTGACTAAGTATCTACTTATGAAGGGAAGCAATCCCGTCACAATGTTATAAAATATATTACCATAAACACCATCAAGACAATATTGAAAGAGACATGCATAAAAATTTGGAAGGATCAACTGACCAAGAATTCAGAAGGGAAGCTCCGCACTTATGTAAAATTTAAGAATAATTATGGTTTCGAAAAATATCTAAATATCATGTCCAATTTTGAACTTAGGAGATCATTGACAAAATTTAGGGTGTCATCTCACCATTTGCTGATTGAAATAGGACGATACCAGGGTACTCCTCCAAACCTTAGACTATGTCAGCAGTGTAGCTCTGGTAATATTGAAATTGAAGTTCATTTTCTCTTTTATTGCACAAAATATAACGAAGACAGACACCATTTATATCACATTATTTCGGAATCATGTCACAATTTCATTAACTTAAATTCCCAAGGGAAATTGCTATGGCTGTTGTCTTGTGAGAACTTAACTGTATTAAAAGAGTTGTGTATATTCCTGGTTAAACACTGCAAATAGCAGATTTATATGACATGTTTCGCATAATTAATAATTGTTGTTATTTAAAAAAAATAAATAAAATAATAATAATTATTTGTTAATTGAACGGATTCAGTTTCTCTATTTATTTTGTTCATCTGCTTCTGACACGGGGAGGATTGCTGTTATTGCCTATCGCAATCAACAGTATATCCTAGAGCACCGTCCCTTAAAAAATTGGTGTCTCCTGCAGATGAACAAATTTCCATCTTTATAGATAATAAGTTAAGGTTGATCAAACTTTATTATTAATACTTTTTTTTTAGTTTTACACTGCTGGACATAAGGAAGGAAGGAAAAAAAATACTCAAGATAACTTTTAATGTATTTTTGTTATTAATACTATTTTCATTGTCTATTATAATATCTGTCACGTTATATACTGTACAATGTCTCATGTTTGTTGCTTCTACTATCATAAATTTTGTTAATTGTAAATGCCCCCTGTGGGACCATGATTGGAATAATAAATATTTGATTTGATTTATTACCATCTTATATTAGAGTCGCCTATTCTAGACGATCCGTACAGATTAAATTTGATGGTTGGTCCTTTTTAAAGATTTGTGTGTAAATATATGCTCAGAAACGGGATTTGATAAAGTATTCGTATTCGTTGCCAGAGGCAGGAGAAAAGTAAATTATAAGGAAAATGTTCATTACATATATAGCATTGATAATTTCAACCAATCGAATAACGCGTTATATCTGGTTGCCAAACGTAAACAAAAATGGCGGAAGAAGGTAATGTTTTGAAAATTTACACATGTTTTAATAGCATTTATCACAACAGTGATATTATTCACAATTTTACGCATTGTCTTGTGCAACATTATTTAAGATGAAATGCACAAATCATATATTAATTCTAATTGTATGTAAGAAACAACAAAAGAAATGGCAATGTTTACCACCAAAACATGATCTGACCTGAATTTTTTGGTTACAATCTTTACATTCGCTCATTTCGTATAGATTAAGTTTGATTTTTATTCGTTGGAAAACCTTTCGGAACCTCTGAAATCAATGTATGAATAAAGATGCAACTATGAATTACTCATGTATAGTTTGACAGTCTTCTGGTTGTGTTAAAATAAGAAACGAAACCGAAACGGAATGTAAAGTTGACAAAATCTAACGAAATGAATATATGACATTTGGTAGACTTACTTCAAAAAGCTCTTAAATGTAAATGGAACATGACTGACATTCTTGAAGAGGGTAATGATTTGCAAACAAAGTGTATATTGGGGCATATATATATATAAAACATTATATAAATAACACATAGCTGAGAGGGTGATAGAGCAGATTGTTACCCTGAGAAAACATTGTCAACTGAGGCGAAGTAACTAGTACTGCTTGGTCTGTTAGTACTGTCTATAAAATTTCAAATTCAAAGTAAAAAACTATGACGTCTTAAAATGTCTTATACATAACAATCATCCGTATTTGATTAAGCGCACACTTGATCAAGCGTCTACATGAAGGGTAATAGAGTGTTTGTCATGGGATAGAGTAAATTGTCTCCCTCGTATTAAGCAATCAAAATCGCATTTTGACATGAAGTATAATAAATCTAATTGTCTAATTAGTCTCAATATTAAAACAAACTGAGATTATGAATATTTCCAGGACAGACAAAACTAAGGAACAACACTCTTTTTCTAAATATTTTTTATAACTACTCCCTTTCATTCTCTTGCATTCAAAAGGACAACCGTAAGAATAAATCACAGGTATTTGGTGAAATTATTCATTTCTGGAATGAAAGAAATTAAACTTCTGAGCACCAAAGGACCAAATGCATAACACACCTTATCGTCCTGATTACATGTACCCACACTTGTCTCTGATGAAAATTATACCTATATACCTTTACCTAACAAAATCTAAAGCTATTTTTCTATTCTGTGGACGTCTATTCCAATAAAACTGATATTGATATTGTAAATACAATAATTTATCTACACAATGGTGTAAAACACACCCTATCATCCTTCCCTTTGCTTATATCATGATCACCATGCTCAGTTCCTCCGTAAGTCTCGTTTCACAGCTTTTAGACGAGAGCAGGTATTATCAGTTATTTACAATGTCTGAGGAGAAGTAATTAGCAAAGTCACAATATATGAGGAGAATTTATCAAGCCTACTTTCTTAGGGAGGATGAAATGACAAGTAACAGAACAATAAATATATTAATGGGTTTTCTACAGACATGACAGATAGATATCGTAAAATATCAGCTGCTCGGCACAATGTGAAGCTTTTTTGCTCTTTTGCTGCACTCACTCGCTAAAATGGTTCACATTGTGGCTCATGGCTGATATTTTACGACATCAATATGTAGAAAACCTGTTATATATATACTACTCTTTCAAAGTAGGCTAACCGTAAATGATGTCCATGACCGAACATATTTTCCCCAATAAAAACATGGTTTGTCCACTTGGTTTTTTTGTTGTTGTTGAATTGTTATTCATTAATTATGAATATTACGAAATTCATAATATTGAGTTTTGAATCAAGCACATGGTACAATTATTTACTAATCTTGTACTATTTTATATGGTTTATGCCTATTCTCTTGAAAACTATAATACACTGTAGATGTACAAAATGTAGCTAGATATAGCAACTTTAAACAGGAAAATTGATCAGCAAGATTCAAGATGATGATCTACACACATGAAGAAAAATACAAATATGACTCCATCAATAAATTGATCATTAAATTATGATCTTTGACTTCGTCTAATTTTAGTGTTTTTGCCTATATTATCAATATCTTGAAAACTACATGTATATTTATGGAGGGGAATGACCGAAACAATGTTAGACTACAGAATTCATATAATACATTTTTTTTTACTTGCATGTTCAATTGTTGAGACAATGTTTTACATGCCTTACTAAAAGAGTCACTAGAAAGACTTTGCAAATTGGATATAGTGTCCATATAATAGATTCCTGTCACACAGTACAAATTTTAATTGTGTTTTGTAAATGCAAACTAACTGCAGTCTTCACGCATAACCACAAGTCCTACAGCCCTGGCTTGTAAAATTCTTCTCTACAAGCCAACAGAATCCAGCTAAAATTTTCAAAAAATTGAGATTCAGGCATTTGGACTCAAAAGTTTATTGTAAAGGCTGTATCTGAGGAGAATGATCATTATAACGAGTGAGGATCCAACTTTATTCTTGCGCTTTGTTTTTCTGTCTGCACATATTCCAACTGATAAACATATGTCCAGTAGATCTAAATATCTCAAGTTAAATGCATTTTATTTTTAAATTCTTTTTTGGAATTTTATATTTAATTTTTACCTGTGTCCCCAATGAGGAATGCCTGTGTAGTAACCTTTCCACTCCATCCATCATTCCGTCATTCTTATATATATATGGATTCTACCACTGCATCGAGTGTGATACTATATTTCTCCACTCGAGACTTAAATATTTAAAATTTAACTGTTGAGAGTGGAGAAATTGTTTTTGCACAAGATTTGGTGGTACTCAAGCAAATCTGTTTCTCTAATGATTTTAGACTATTATATGTAGACAAACTTCATCCTTCTTTTTCAATGATCTGCAAAAAGATGTGTTCGTTCTATGTAACGTCATCAGGCATGGTAGCCTATTTTAGTGACATCACAATAGGAAATTCAGAGGAAAGCAAGAAAATTTAAGGTCATAATTGAATTTTGACCAATCAAGAACTGCGATCAAATGAGCCCCACATTGAATAAATAAAAATAATCAACCGCTCAGGAAAAGGATAAATTGTCTAAGAATTAGAGAAATGTACAATGTATATATATTAGCATATTTGTTCATGATCGTCAATTGACTTTTACTTATCATACTTTTAACAACTTTGATATGTCACTAGTGTATGATTTGGCAAATATTGCCCCTATACCATCAGTGGGTGGCATGATACAGTCCAATATGGAGTTGTTCTCGTCAAATGAATGAAGATTTTTGTGAGGAGAGAAATAAACTGTATCTTTGGCTGCTGATAATAAAATTGTTCTTATTGCTGAATATGTACATTTCATGAACATTTCTTTTTGTGTCAAAAGACATTTGAGACTAAAGGAATAAAACCATGAACCCCCTAGAACAGCCCTGTAAAGGTTTTTTTTTAACTTCAATTATCAAAGTTAATCTAATGTGTATGTATTGCTAAATGTATGATATTGAAAGTATAATAATAAAAATTTCTACATCTGTTTTATATTTATAAATATATTAGCCTGAAATACATGTAGATTATTTCGTTTTAATCTATTTTTCTAGAAATTGTAAACTTTTTGGACCTCTTTTCAAGATTTCATGTGTGGTGCCACCCCTCGTCCATTGAAATTTTTGTTGAAAAGTAAAGAATATGGTATATAAAGAATATTTCAGTAAAATTATTTGTGGAGGAAGGATGGCACCACTGTTTTAATTTTTCAGAAAACTGTCATAATGTTTGCAGAATTCTGCAAAACATCAGGTTTTTTCGAAATTTCTCTACATTATAATTATGACATCAGTTATGACACAATTGGTGAAAATATGTTTTAACTGAAACAATTGGACATTTTAACATATGTTTTCATTAAATTTTCACCACATTATTGCAGTGAAAATTTTTCAGATTTGTAGGGCCAAAATTGTGAATTAGAGAACAACTCCTTTCCACACAATGTCAACTTTCTAGATCATGTCAGAAATACTTTTCTATAATAGTTAATGTACATGTATATATGACCCAATAAGTTATGCATACATGTTTGTAGATTGGTATCATTATAATTACTTTAAATTTCAATGGCAGCTGCTGCATTTGAACAGTCCATGAATTCAATGGAGAAAGAATGTCATAGTATTGTGCACTGCACCTAATTTAAAAGGAAAAGTCACAAAAGATTATTCAGAACTAGTACAATGTATTTTTATACTATTTTTGTATTTTCATTGTCCACTAGTTCATTGTAGTTTGTGTATTCAAATGTTTGTTTTTGAAATAAGTTAATACTTCGTAATTGGTTCCCAGAGCAAACACAGCTTTTTTAAAAGATTTTTTTTTTCTCACAAATATCCATATGCAACATTAACAAAAATATAAAACTTTTTTTTGCTTTGTGTTAGAATTTTTTTTTAAGATTAAAATCTTATTTTGGTGTTTAGTAAAAATAATTAATTTCCGGAGAAATCTTCCATTTGTCAGTACATCTGTTGTTGATAGTATTTTTCCAACCATTAGTCAGAGCTTTGATCAATTGTTGTCTACATCCTCAAAGCTCTTTGTGAAAGGAATAATTGCTGTAGAATCCAAACTGAAAATTAGACCATTGTTGTCTACATTTATTAAATGGCAACTGCTACATTTGAACTGCCCAATGATTCAATGGAGAAAATATGAAAACAGTTTGAAACAGTCTCATGCCTCTGAATGAACACGATGAAATGGTCAAAAATCACAAAAGATTATTCAGACCCTATTACTTATAGTTCTGTACAAATTGAATAGAGCTAGTAATTTATTTTGTATAACCATTGCCAACTCGATATAACTTGTACATACACATATATGCAGCAGCTGTTTTTTTGTAAATTGTTGCTTACAGCATATAAAGTTCAGAATAGATTTCAGGGGAATATAAAGCTTTTTATACAACAAGAATATAATACTTAAGAAGAAAGATGTACTGTTGGTTTTAATAATAGAAAAGGATGGTATTACCAACAAGCATGTGGTAATCAAAATCAGCTGTACTCAATTTCTGGTCTTTGAGGATTGACATAAATGAGCCCACTTATATAAGGATGGAATTTAGAACCAAATTCCTTTTTATTTTTTACAATTTATATAAAGTTAATTGTCTATAAAAGTTTAAATATGTGCTTTCTAACTATATGAAGTATTGAATTTTTTCATACAATCATATTCATAATAATGCTGCGTTCACACGTAATTCGAATTTGATTCGCATTAACTAATTCGAATTAGTTAATTCGCATTCGAAACGTTTTACGTCCAAACGTAAATTCTAATTTGAATTGCAATGCGCGTCAAATTCGCTCTACTGTCCGAACGACGTTGACTTTTAATTCGTATTAACAAAAACGCATTTCTAATGCGAATTAGATAATGCGATTTAGTTAATTCGAATTAAAAACGAAGAGTGTGTGAACGCGATTAGCGAATTCGATTCGCATTTGATTCGAATGTTATAAATTACATTAAATTAGCAAAGTACAAAAATGTAATTTACATTTTAAAGTAATCGCCCCCATCCCTGATTACCAATAAAAATTATTTGATTATTCTAATTCAAACAGGCTTATATATAATTAGTTGCAACAATGTACATATGTAACTTCTTCATCATTTTGTCTTTGGTGGAGAGTTGTCTCATTGGTAATCATACCACATCTTCTTATTTTTATGTTAACAATATGCCAAATCTAGTTCACAATGGGGAGAAAAATTTAATTACATAGTACAAAATTATTGTAATTTTAGTTTGACTTCAGTAGCAAATTAAATTGTTCTGTCAAATATATATTTCAAAAGAACAATTAGTCAGTTACATTTTTAAAATTTAACAGACAATCTTTCTTGTAGGCAAAGTAAAGAAGACCAGAAAGCTTAAAGCCAAGTCTGATATAAAAGAAAATGCAGGGATTGAAATGGGTAAGACAAAACATAAGAAGTTATCTGTAAATAAGCTGCAAAGGTTCTTTATATAAAGGTACCTTCAGAGTTTTTTGTAAAAAATGACTAGTATAGCATAGAGCTACCAACTGTAATTCATTAACATGTGCCAATGTCTCTTTGTTGACTTCCATCTGTAAATCACACATTTATAATTATCTTTTTATATAAAACATAAATTAAAGTAAAAGTTTTGGGGAAAACGTCAATGATAGACAAGCATATAAGAAAAACTACTAGAAATCACGTTCAAAAGTGACTAATTATAAGACTAACCAAACTGGGTATATGTATCAACTCTCTAGACAATCACCCAATATGTTTTGGTAAAACTTGGAAATCATCTACTCTAATGTGGACATTGAAGACCTTTCTCATAAGATCTCAGTATTTTTTTTTTCAGTTTCCCAATATCTCCTCTCTTTTCCATAACTTTATCATAAAGACAAGAGATTGATTTAAATAGATATAATTAAACCAGTGTATTCTTGCAAAAAAAAATACCCAAGCAACTAGACATTTTGAATGCTGATTGGAAAATTGTTTCCTGAGTTTTAAATGTAGTTATTTAAAAGCAAAAAGTAAGATGAAATATCATTTGAATATTAATTGGAAACCGGTATTTTAACAAATCTTTCACATGTCCGTGTAGTTTGAAAATGTTGACACCTATAATGCTTTATGGGAACATGGAAAAAATGGACAAGATCTAGTTATGACAATTCTAATATTTAAAAAAAAGCTTTGCAGTCTGCTCGTCAGTCCTGTATCAGGTTAAAGTTTTTGGCTTTATATATGGTAGTTTACCAGGAAGCTACAAATGTATGGTCACATCATTTTGAAACTTAGTATTTATGTTCTTTATGGTATGAACTGTTTAAGGTGGATCATTGGTATATATTTCCTCAGATAGAATTTTCTTATACTTTGCCAGAATGTAGATTTTTCCATGTTTTTTTCAAAAATATGATAAAAAGTATGGGTCACTGTGCTATTTTTCAAGCTCCCAGTCGAGCAAAATTGCCCAAATTTGCATAGATTGTTAATGAAAAAGCACATTTTTGTGAATAAAAAGAAATCGATGAGATAGAACTTTGAAATAAAATAAGAGAAGATAGGTTTTAAAATATGCTTGAAGAAAATAAAAATAAAAATGGTTTCATGACCTTGTTTTCTTGCTACAAGTAAAAATTTTAAATTTCTCTATTATTCCTTTATGAAAAATTTACTATTTGACTTATCTCCCCTTAAATGGCTTAGTGGACAATTTGATTTAAACAGACACAAATATTTGGTATCTGATATATCAGTCTGAATAATGCAATAAATCACTTATTTTTCTTTATTCCAATAAACAGTCTAACCCATTTACTGCCAATCTGCCTCAAAATTTACAGATTTAAGCAAAGAACTATTATGAACTACTTTTTTACAATCCAAGATGGCAGTATACAGGTCACTGATCATAGAAATGTGATAGTGTGAAACCAGTACATTCTCAGGTCAAAGTTTTTGGTTAAGGTAGTTTACCATGAAGTTGTGACCACATCAACTTGAAAATAAGTACACATGTACTTTATGACATAAAATAGTTAAGTTATATGATAAATTACCAGTTTGACCCTGATTTTGCAATCGCCAAACATGGAAATACAATAGTGCAAGCAGGCATCTTGTCTTATGGACACACATATTCTTGTTATGCTATGTTATCTGTATTCATTTCTATCTCTTTCTAGTTATCATAATTTTTTACCTGTTGGTTTCCCCATATTTTTCCTTACATACGTTTCTTATAAGTATACTTTACCTGAAGTTGTGTTTTTTCCCTTAAATTATATATTTTTCATTAGAGCCTTTGATGCCATTTTACTTTGTACAGTTATTTATAGGAAAATAATCACCATTTTAAATTAAAGAACTTGTCCAATGTCAGTCGTAAAGAATTCTGGGAGAACACAGGAAAGATTTTATTTAACAGAAGGTTTGAAAGAAGAAGAAAGACAATATGATGCTGGACATAGAGATTACTATATAGCAGCTGCATACACTAATTGATAAAGCTTTATATTTCAAAGTGAAGAAGACCTGGATGCTTCATATCTAGTATACAGATGCTTTATGTTATGAAGTTTCCCTCTGCCATATCTATATGTCCATTGTCCTTGACCTTTTTTTCATGGTTCAGCAGCTGAAAAAAAATGTTTTTGTGTCATAATAATCTCTCACTTTTTAATTATGAGTAATAGGATAACTATATTTGGTATATGCTTCACCTGATTTTGACCTCATTTCATAGATCCATGATCAAGTTAAGTTATGTGATTATGTTCCGTTTCTCAGATACTATTAGCAGTACGTCAATGATATTTGGTGTATAGAAGGATTGTAAGGTGTACATGTCAGTCTAATCGGTTTCATCATATCTTGACCTCATTTTCAGGTTCATTATTCAATGTTAATTTTTTGTGTTATGGTCTGTTTGAAATACTATAAGCAATAGGTCAACTATATATGGTGTATGGAATGATTGTTAGGTGTACATGTCTGTCTGGCTGGAATCATCTGTCCTTGACATCATTTTCATGGTTCATTTGTCTATGTTGAGTTTTCCTGGTTAAGTCTGTTTCTCACATACTATATAAGCAATTAGTCAAATATGTATAGTTGGTGTCTGGAATGATTGTAAGGTGTATGTCAAGTCTGGCAGGGTTTATCGGTCATACATTTCATTGTCATGGATGATAATGTTAAGTTTATCTGATACTTGTAGTAAAACCTTTGATTTCACCTTTATCCCTAAGACTTTCAAAATAAAATTGATCATATCAGTAAAGCAGGTGAGACATTCTGTGTGTGCACTCTTGTTAAATAAGGTCCCTCTCTGCAAATTGAAATGTTTTCTTTGTATACACAAGATAGCAGTGGTGGATCCAGAAATTTTCATATGGGGGGCCTGCTCCAGTCATGCTTCAGTGATTCCCTATATAATCAACCAAATTTTTCCCACAACAGGGGGCCAGGGCACCCCCCACCCCTCCCTAAATCCGCCTTTGGATAGAAATATCTTTATCAATCATTATCTATTGCCAACATGTTTTTTCTGTTATAAAGCACATGTAGATAATTTTATCCCTTTTTCAGATACTTTTGGTGATAGTGCAAAGTCAAAGCTGGATATTTTACTTCAGCAAGCTGTAGTTGAGTCCACTTCGTAAGTTTAATTATTTTTTTTCAGAAAGTACAAGTTGATTTTGTTTATGTGTAGAATTTTATCTGAAACCAGTAACCTAGATTCTATTAATTTGGTGTAGCATAGGCTATCATTATACAATAATGATCTACCCTGCATCTTTTATTTATAGATAAATTGCTATAATAAGGAAAAATCTGGAAATGGGAAAGCTTACCGGTAGTTCAATGAACTTTTCAAGGTCCAGATGGTACAAGATCTAATACAATCATTGTGACAATTAGAGAGAAATAAGACTCCTAATAGTAGGTTCATGATAGCACTGTATTTAAGCACAGTAAGCTCCATGCAAATGAACCTTTTAAGTACACAACAAAATATAGATTAATAAGAAATATTATACAAATTCACATGGAAAGATACCATAGTTACTACTATTCATGAAATGGCTTAGAAAAGCTACATAAAGTTGTACAATACAACAAAACAACACAGTTAGCAGTAGTATAGAAAAGCTACATAAAGTTGTACAATACAACAAAACAACACAGTTAGCAGTAGTATAGAAAAGGTCATACATTTACTTTATGTTATAAGTTAATAACCTTTTCTTTTTAGTAGAAAAGATTCAAATTCATATGTATGACTGAACTTTTTCCTACATTGTTAAAATTAAAGTTAAGGAAAACAGTCGTGTATTTGAATAGTTGCCACTGTTAATTAAGGTATTGATGGTCGCAAATGCAGTTTTACTGACGAAGTGGATCAGAGTCAATAAAATGGAGATGTTCGACCATCAAATCCAGAATTGACGGTGACAACTCTTCAAATACAAGAGTGTTATTCCTATTGTAATGCAATACACTTTAAATGTTTAAAAGATTTCAAATACAAATGTTCAAAAGATTTCAAATATTCGGTAAACATCAACTGCCATTGATCAACATTTTTGCAAATGACTTATCATCAACTGTGGAATTGATGGCAGACAACATCCAATCAAAATTGGTGTTACATGCCTAATTGTGTTAGAATGTAATGTTTCATATCTATATATAATATATTAAAAAGTATAGGTCACCCAGCTTGTTCTCAAGCTACAGGTTGTGACAATAGACACATTTTGTAAAGATTTAACTGATGAAAAACACTATTGTTTGAATTGAAAGAAAATTAAATGACAGAATTAGCTGTTATAAGATGCCTTCAGAAAATAAAAATTAAATAAATTGGTTCTCCATACTTTTTTCCAGTTATATAACAAACTTCAAAAATTCCCTGTACCTTTATTTGTAAAATTTAATTATCTGAATTTATTTCACTTAAAGCAAAGTTTAAAAAATTGTAAATCAATAAAAAAATATTATATTTTTGTAAAAACTGTGATGGTTGTTATCATTAGATAAATTCACATAATATTCTTCATTTGATTAAGAAGTTTTATAATTGAATTCCATTTCTGCATGAAAATTTGAGAGTTTTAGTTTAAATCTGAACGGAATCTACAAGGATCACCAGTCTTCACCTTTCATTGGATATCTTAGTTACCAAAATATATTCTACATAGTTTGATTTAAATCTGTACATGCTGTACTACTTTCCAGTATGTTCCAATTTGGTGTTGTTACATCTTACAAAGTCTACCAGAATTATTTCAGTTTGCAAAGAATTCTGCTCAAACTGTGTTTGCTCCATGTTGAAGGCCTTGCTGTGACTTTGAGATGAAGAACAGCAATTAAAGCACTGTCCCTGTTTGTGTGTTTTTTGGTGTGGAAGTACTGATTTTGTGTCATGGATGGAATCCCCATATCCTTTGTTTTTCTATCAAATGCTAGTGGAAGTTTGTGATCCAAGATGGATCCTCAAGGGAATTATTATGGAAACTTTGTTTCGTTTGTTCAACATGGTGAACTATATATAAAGTAATCAGTTTTGTCTATTAAGTAAAGTAAGTTTTGAAGATCCTGTGTCATTTAGTCTCAAATATGGATTGCAGCTGTATAAATGGTGTGGAGTATAAGTCAAGGAGACACCAATCCAAAAATAACTGCATTTTATGCTTTTTATGCCCTCGTCATAGCGGAGGGGGCATTTAGTTTTCCCTTGTCCGTCTGTACGTCCATCTGTCCGTACGTCCCAAAATTGGTTTCCGTTCTCTAACTTTAGTTTGCCTCAACCAAATGTTATGAAACTTATACACAATGCTTATTACCACAAAACACACATCAAGTCTGAATTTGGGTGGTATCACTTTTACCTTTCTTAAGTTATGCCCCTTTGCAAATGGAAAAATTGCTGAATTTTTCGTTTCTGTTATCTACCTTAAGTTTGTCTCAACCAAATGTTATGAAACTTATTCACAATGCTTTTTACCACAAAACTCAGATCAAGTACAAATTTGGGTAGCCTTACTTTTACCGATCTTGAGTTATGTCCCTTTATAATGTTATATGCAAGCAGGGGCATCATCTGTGTCCCATGGGACACATTCCCCATTTATATCTTATATTCACACATTTGATAAACTTTCAGTCTTATTATGGTATTGACAGGCAACTTTAAATTTTTTCCTAGTATTTCAAGACCGAGGAATCTATTTTTGTAAAGATTAAAACTGTATGATTTGATATATTTCAGGAGTGCCAAAGCCAAGAAAAAGAAAAAGAAAGATGATTCAGTGGTATGTTTGATATAAACATTTTTCAAGAATTTGAACTACAATGACATTATTGAAAATTTTCTGTTTATTTTCTTTTTATTCATTGGGAAAATGTTTTTCATTTGTTCTCTGAGGAAATTTTTTCCAGTTGTACTCAATCTCCGAAACTAGCCGATGGTACTTAGTCAGTAGAAATCAATATATGTATACTGGTAACTGAAAATGCTAGAACACTCAAACTAGGAAGGACAGAAATATACTAGGATCTTTAGGCCACTCTGTTATTTTTCAACCTATGCTCTATGTATGTCATCTATATAATGTATTTGCTAATTTTATTTAAATAACACATTTATGTTAAAAAATGTATGTTTGTAGTTGGAATCCCTGCGTAAGGGAGAAGGATTACAGAAGGAAGAAGATGCCGCCATTAAAGCCAACACCTATGATCCTAATGATAGTCCAAAAAATATGAAGAGTAATAAAAGGAAACAAAAAATAATGGAAGAAAGTAAGAGTATAGAAAACTGTAAAGCCAATTAGTAGCTCACCTGGCCCTTAAGGACCAGGTGAGCTTATGCCATCAGGCGTCTCCTGTTATTGTGGTCCAGCCTTTGTCGAAGACTTTTTCAAAAATCTTCATTCTGAAACCTCAGATCCAGTGTACTCCCCAGGCCGTTTAATCATATTTTAGCGCTGTGCTATTGGACAGACCACAGTGGTATCCAATCAAATATCAGCGCTATTGTTTTTTGAATTTTCAAATTTCTGGTGTTATTCTGTACAATTTCGATCATGTGGTCGACTGGTCGATTTGTCTGAGAGATCGTTTATTCACCTAACGAAGTCAAATATCGGAGTGGTTAGTTCAAAAAAAGAACAAAATGGTGTCATTTGCAGAACTTTTACTGTCAAAAATACCCCTTTCTTTCTGGAGTTTTTCACTTTAAAAAGAATAAAAAGATGCAGAAACTTCAGGACAGGGGTGGATAGTGCTCAATAAATCATAATAAAAGTATTTAAGGAAAGTTTTACCCTTTCTCTGACAACTTTTTGAACCATCTACGATTATTTCATTACTTTTTCACGTTTACAACTAAACTGTTACACCTGTATTGCTTTAAGAAGAGCATTCCCTTTGTCCAGGGATTTATAACAATACATTATATATTATATATATAACGATTACTTGTCCTTACATCGCTATTTTCAAAATCGAATAGAGGATAAAACAAAACAAAAAAATCATGTAAATAAATATAAAATATCAAGGTTTGCCATCCAATTTTCAATAAATATTAATGAAATTATTTTATAATCAATGTTAACAGAGGATGGCTTGGATAAGGAAAGGCATTTAATGATTCATAGAAGCAGCCATTAGTGTAAACAGGAACAGGAAGTTGCTTAAGAGAGACAATTTTGGAGGGATAAAGTACTAAAACCAGTATAGTCAAATCTTGTCAAATATTTCTGGTTGCAATTATTGAAATATTTATAAAATTATAAAACACAACCTTTAAAAGTGGTAGTAATGTTTCAATTGGCAAATATAATTTTTTTATTGATAATCCACCTTTGATAATAAAAAAAAAATCTTTAAAAAAATTTAAGATTTCTATCATATGCATCTTGGAATGTGTTAGCCTTTTTTAAACATGTCTTTTATAACATTTAAGTACTTGTTGGAAGGGTAATTTCATTTCTCCCTTTGATATTATATAATATACCGATTTTAATTGCAAAATTGTAATTTGATAGATGTAAATAAAAGTTAATGAAAAAATTCCAATTTTGTCATTGAAAACTTTCTTTAAATATGTGTCAGTAAATTATCAACTTGTAAAGGATATATAACTAGTTTATAAGTCAAACAACTAAAAGTGAAAAAAAAGATATACCTACTGTGCTACATTGTGCATACTTACTCTTACAAAAAAGGTTGGAAGGGGTGGTAATGAAATCAAATTATTTAAATTATCTAGGCATTTTAATTTTTAAAGCTTAATAATAAAAATGTAACTTATTTCCATTTCTTTTAATGCATATGTATAAATAATGCAGGTCTTTGTCATTTAATATAATATAACCAACATTGTAGTTATAAATAAATGTAACACAAAAGGGGAATCAATCTAATATTGCGCGCTTACCACAGCGCTATCAAAAAATCCTGGGGAGAACACTACTCAAATCCAAATGTTATGAAACTTGACAGTAATAATGTTTGGCAATTACAATTACAATTATCCTCATTTTGTTCCTTGGGTGAAAAATATTGCCACCACAAGTAAAAATAGAACATAGGGTTGTGAACAATGGCTTTTTCTAACTATAGTTTGAAATCTTTGCTATTCAAGTACTGAAAATTTTGTTATCCAGATATGGAATTTGAACTAGGATGACGTTATCAATGCTATAGGCAAATTTCAAAAAATGTTAATGATATGTGAAAAAATAACAGATTGTTCAATGATGTCACTTACACCAATTAACCCGAGGTCAATCCGTGTAACTCATTCATAAAAAAGAACTTCAGATTGGTCTATATAAAAGTTTAGAAAAGTGGAAATTAAATGTAAGAAACCAGATTCAAGTTCAGAATCTTTATTTAAATTTGAAAAATTGAATCTTATGTTAAAAAAGAAAAAAAAATGTTGACTGTTTTAATTTTCTGTCATAAAAAAAAGATTATGCTTACCGGTACATTTAGGACAATCCCGAGTTTAAATACATTTGAACATCACTTCTCCATGGTAATAATTGATGAAATATAAATTTTAGATGCAAAGCTTGAAAAACCAGATAATACAGATAAAAAGAAGAAGAAGAAACCTATAGATGATACATTGAATGAACAGTAAGTCAGAACCCAACAAAAAAAAAAATCTGAATTTTTTTACAGGGTTTAATTTTTGTGATATGTTGTTCCGTGAAAAGTTGTATACAATTAGTAGCATTAATTTAGGATATAAAACACAATTTGCCACAATTTGGGACTTTTTTAATTAAAATCACTCATTATGTGGTTTTGATAGCATTTCCCTATTCAGGAATAAAGTTAGTACAGTCAAACTTGATAATTAAAAGTCAAAGTGACCTGATATAACTGTTCTATCTGAGTCTGCAAGTTACATAATGTTTACCTGTTTCAATATTGTCAGCTTGGTATGTTAATGTTGAAAATATGTTTTATATTCCAATCCAGCTGAATTGATTATATTAAAAAAATTAATGTATTTATCAAAAATATTATCACTATTTTTCCCCCTTACTGGACATCACATACTTTCCAATAAAATTTTAACCTCACAATAGAAAATATATTTTTTTTTATACTTGATCAATCCATAAGGGTTACAACAGAGAAAAGAAATGCCCAAGGGTCAGTCAATATAGATTCTGAAACGTTCTTGACCAAAATGTATTTTTGGATTTTGGTCAAAATTTAAGTAGATCAGACATAATTATCAACGCCCATTTGTCAGATATTGAATTTTTAGTTACAAGTTACAAAATCTCAAATGCAATTCTTTTTCGGAAATAAAACTGCCACTCAGTATTGTATGATAATCCACAAGGTCAAAGTTACTAATGAATACCCCTGGGGATATCAAGTAAGTGCTCGCTTATCATGTATACCTGTGTTGACACCTGACAGCAGAAAATACTGACCAAGAACAGACAATTTATTTTATTATGGAATAACTATTTAGCAAAGGCTATTGATAATTTTGATTTTAAAATTAAAGCTTTCTATACAATTGGGTTAAAAAAAAAGTTTAGATTCAGTCGAACATGCAGATATTCATTACACATTATGCAAGCAAGTGTCCCCTTCTTTTTAATAAGTACAAGATTAGATGCTTTTTCGTTTAAATGAGCATTCATTTAAGAACATTTTTACAAGTATGATTCTCAAAAACATTGATTTTAGTGCCATTAAAAGCCAGAGCTTGTAAATTTGTAAATCTGACATCATTCGTAATTTATAATCAGCTTGAAAAATTCCTGTTTCTCAAAAATGGAAGTAGCATGATCAATTTCTAAAAAAAAAATGAAAATTTTAAGTCATTAAAATCATTAGTTTTAAACTTGCATTCCACATATTATTCTTCAAACAAGGAATTATTTCAATCTGGGATAATTTTAAACTCTGGAAAATTATTAAGAAATATTTGATGAAAACTAACCCAATTTAGGAGGGTTAGCCATGCACAAGGATCCAGAAATTTTTTCACACAATAACTTAAAAGTTGGTGCCCTTTTTCAAAAAAACAATTGTTGAAATAGAACAAGATTCATAGCATCAAACTTGTTTTGACTGTTTCATCACCATTACTTCATGAATTTTCTTACCATTTTTCTAAAAACGTTCAAGAACAGTTAAGAGAAGGCAACAGTTTAAAAATGAAATGATTTTAATGACTCAAAATGGCAAATTTCTCAGACATCTCTAACGTTTCTTTCAATTTTGAAGACAAAATTAAAGCCGGATGTTTTGCGACAATACTTAAGTACGAGTAATTCCGGACACATTTCCGGGATTCGTTTTGTTTATCAAATTGACAGAAAATCACCGGCTTTTTAATTTTTTACCTTTAAAAGTGTTTATATATAACAGATAATAGTTGCACTTGTTTTATTTAGCATGAAATCATTTTGCATTTTACAATTAAGTGTCTAATCTGCTAAAGAGAATTTCGCGCATGCGTATAACTTTGTAAATAAAGCACCTGTGTTAATCGGGAAAAATTACTTTTTTCTACATAAATTAAATTAAGTTTTGATTTTTAAATCAAAATTGACGATTGTCTTTGTTGAAAAGTAATTAAATAATGAAGACAGTTGTCATGGAATTTTAATTTCTTTATAATATGAGTCTTGAGCTTGTGATCCATGTCAGGACTCAGGTGTGAATTCAAAACACAGGTAAAAAAAAATTAGCGATCATTAGCCAATATTTCCCGGAGGTATTTATATAGTTATGTGGAGGGCCCTTAGGATTATAATACTACACTGAAGTGGCAGTTTTATTACAGGAAAGGGATAACAAAACAAAAACAGTGCAAAATGACAGAAATTATTTATGTAAAAAAATAAAATTTGTTCTAAATCCCAATTTGTCGATTAGGACAAATAGATTTCAGATTCGGTCATGTCTGGCAAATATGACCATTTCCGTACACTTGGCCATGCATGCATAGCTTAGGGGTGTTAGTTAGTTAATACTGAAATATCAGTTAAAGTAAAATTAACCTTAGCCATGCATGCATGACTAACCCTCTTTAGTAAGGTTAGTTTTCATCATACATTTCTTATCAATTTTCCAGAATTCAAAATTATTCCAGATTCAAATAACTCCTTTTTTTAAACCATTTTACAAAAACAGGTAAGAAATTCATGCAATTCATAGAGCTAAACCACTGATAGGGGTTCATTTGTGTTGTGACGGGTAATAACCAAAATTGGTAAAACGTTATTATACCCCACGCAAATTTTTTGCGAAGGGTATAATGTTTTTGACCCGTCCGTCCGTCTGTCTGTCCTTCTGTCCGTCAGTCCGTCAGTCCTGTTTCTTGTCATCGCAACTCCTCTCAAACCACACAACAGAATTTCATGAAACCTTTTCAGATGATAAGGACATACTATGTAGATGTGCATATCGATAGGAATTCACGAATCAATTTTTTTCCCAGGAGTTACGCCCAATTGAACTTATTTGCCCATATACTACTGCAACCTTTTGTCATCGCAACTCCTCTGAAACCACACCACAGAATTTCATGAAACTTTGTAGATAATAAGGACATACTATGTAGATCTGCATATCGACAGGAAATTACGAATCAATTTTTTTTCTAAGAGTTACGCCCCTTGAACTTATTTGCTTCAATGTACTTCTGCAACAGTTTGTCATCGCAACTCCTCTGAAACCACACAACAGAATTTCATGAAACTTTGTAGATAATAAGGACATACTATGTAGATGTGCATATTGACAGGAAATTATGATTCGATTTTTTTTTCTTACACTTATTTTATTTCTCCAATGACAATGTGGGGACGTGGGGTATGTGAGCGCGTTCACTAAGGTTCTTTAATTGTACCTCAATTGAAGTAAACAGTTAAGGGGTGTTCCGAATGTAAAAACAAAGGCAAGGATAATAAAAGTTTTAGAGTTAACAATTTTAGACATACTTATACAAGAAATATATAATAACAAAAGTCATTTATCGGTACGATTAAAACAACGTCAACACACAAATTTAGGGAAAACAAGTTCCATTTCAGGGAACCGACATTTCATCACATCATACACACAAATAGAATGACAGACATAGTCTTAAAAAAAAAACACTCATAAAAAATAAAGACTTGAAATTTGAATATTTGAGTCAGTATTTTGAACATAAAAATGATTTTTTTCCTTCCAACTTTTCTTGCTTCTTCAAACTTCAGCACATCTTTTCTTGCTTCTTCAAACTTCAGCACATCAGGGTTGATTTATAATAATTATTCTCTGAGGAGATTTTGAAATAGAGTAGACCAAATCGATATTTCAAATTAACTGATTTCAACTCATTAGGGTTAAAAGGGCTTTGAACAACTGGAATTTTTACTTTTTCCAATATTGAGGAAAAAAATGAATTAGAAGCAACAATATTCATGAGGTTTGACTACATGTATATACTCATTAATTATTTTTCAGTTTTTCATTTAACCAGTGTTATTTTGTCCAGTTTTACACTTACCATTTTACACTTCATTAAGGGTAGAATTTTCATGAAATATTATGTCAAATTATGTATTCTCCAAGAAACATTTTTTTTTAAATATAATTTACCTTAATCGTTTAATTGTACCATTAACTACTACATTACAATTATCATTATTGCAGTTAATAAAAAGGAAAAAGAAGGTATTAAAGTTATCCCTTTTGTATGTATAATATTAAATTGATATCTGTTACAGGGAAACTGAAGTAATTTCTCCTGAGAAAACTAAGAAGAAAAAGAAGAAACCACCAGATAACACAGAAGAAAATGAAGTAATATCTCCACCTCCAGAAGAAGCTCTGTCACCAAAAGGAGGTAAAAAGAAAAAGAAAAAGACTGTAGAAGAAATAGAACTGTCACCGCCAGAATCTGAAGAAGTTTTGACACCAAAAGAAGGTAAAAAGAAGAAAAAGAAGCCTATAAATACTGAACCTGAGGAGGATCCATTAGTAACAACAGAAGAAGCACCAACACCCAAACCAAGGAAACCAAGAAAAAAGAAAGAAGTATTATCTGAGGAAGAACCTACAATTTCACCTAGAGAAGTTGAAACTCCAACAAAAACTGGTAAGAAGAAAAAGAAAGCAGTCCTATCAGATGAAGAGCGTCCTGTATCTCCAGAACCAAGCATAAGCAAGGAAAGAAAGAAGAAAAAAGCAGTCCTATCTGATGAAGAGCGTCCTGTATCTCCAGAACCAAGTACAAGCAAGGAAAAAAAGAAGAAAAAGAAAAAAGGTGCAGAAGACACTGAAGGTCCTACAGTATCTCCCAGAGAAGATGAGGAGGTTACAACTCCAGAAAAGAAGAAAAAGAAAAAGAAAGTGAGAACTGAGGAGGAAGGTCCACAACCAAGTGATGATGAGGTAATTAATGAAAAAAAACTTATTAAACCAGCTTTGTAAAATTTCGTATTTTACTTTAGCTACTAATTACATCGGTCTGCATTTTTTCAATGAAGTAATAATGTCTTTTTTCTTAGAATAATAATATTGATGCTAAATCTGATATGACGCTCTTATTTCACTTTGTAAACAAAGCCATATTCTGATTTCAATAGAGCATTGGGTGCACGTGTGTGATGTCACAATTAAAATGCAACATCAGTTGTATTCTGAACAACACTAGAGATAAAATATACATTTTGTTGGTGTTGGTTGCCTTTAAATTGAATAGAATCTTTCCAAAAGTAAGTTAAAACGTTTGGTTTTCTGAAACATTTTTTTTTCATCAAATCGACATGGCTGTCTTTTGAACTTGTCTTATAGGTCTGCTTATGGAAGTACAAAAAAAATCCTATTAGAACTGAAATAATTATATTATGCCATGTCTATATAAAAAGAGGATGTGGTATGATTGCCAATGAGACAACTCTCCACAAGAGACCAAATGACACAGAAATTAACAACTAAAGGTCACTGTACGGCCTTCAACAATGAGCACAGCCAATACCGCATAGTCAGCTATAAAAGGCCTTGAAATGACAAATGTAAAACAATTCAAACAAGAAAACTAACGGCCTAATTTATGTACAAAATAATGAACGAAAAACAAATATGTTACACAGCAACAAACGACAACCACTGAATTACAGGCTCCTGACTTGAGACAACTTGAAGGCGCCAACCCTCCCCCTAACCTGGGGTAGTGGTGTAACAGTACAACATAAGAACAAACTATAAAAATCAGTTGAAAAAGGCTTAACTCATCAGATGGACACTAAAAGAAATACATTGTACATCTAACAAAAATACAGAGTGGACGTGGACAGGTACTTATACATCCCCACAACAAAAAGACACTAAGTACAGATCTGAGAGTACTCGCAGCTACTGACAGCTAGTTCAAAGCCAATAACAACTAATAAAAAAAATCATGCATCTAAGACTAAATTATCAATCAGTACACATCCAATATCCAATGGATTTAGTGTAAAGACGTCATAAACAGTCAGAGAAAAACATGACCTTGTGCAATGCCAAGATACAGATATCGACAGATTGTAGAGCCATGAATGTGCGTATGTGTATTAAAATAATATTTAGTTTTATTTTAATTTACTGATAACAAAATCAATATTAATACCAATAAAAACAATATTAAAAGATCTAATTACAGTGTTGAATTGACCTTTTAGAATAAGTTTATTTAAAGGATCGATAAGTTTACCCAGATTCTAAATTTCTGGGCTCAGTAAACAACATCTCCGTAAAAATGAGGATGTGCTATCTCGTTTGAAATAAGTTTTCTACAGGTACAACCAAACTTCAAAACCAAATCTTTATATCTATGGAAGAATTTAGTAAAAGTTTTAAGTAATTTGTGGTAACAAAATCCCTGACTTAATAGTTTACCAGTAATACATAGATTACGTTCATTGAAATCCAAAACGTCACAACAGACACAGGCATAGCGAAGGAGTTGTTATATATTATAAACACTGTGAGATGCTCTATGCTCATTTTAACATGGGTTAACATTATATTTGTTGATATAAAGATATTGACAAATATAATGCCTACCAATGTTAAAATGAGCATAGAGCACGGTATGCAAGAATCATTTCTTAATCAATTTCTAACACAAAGGTATGGCAAATATATTTATAAACTACTCCTTCTCTGGAATCATTTCACAGATTTATTGAGTTTTAGAAAAATCAAGATGCAGATGCTTTATGAAATATATTATTTTGTTGTTAATTTTAATTCCAAATAGACTGGCAAGTTTTAACATTTATTAACATCCAAAGCTCACAGCTATAAATATAGTTTTCAATTTAAAACCATAATTGAAATATATTGTTATTAAACCATATTTATTTATTTATTTAAGGTTTTGTCAAAAACAGATGAAGAGGAAGAGATAGAAAAAGATGAAACTGAAGAAAAACAAAAGGAAGAACCAAAAAAGAAAAAAGGAAAAACAAAAGCTAAAACACCAGAAGAAAGTAAGTTTGAAAAATACCTTATGACAATAACAACAAGATAAGAGCATTTTTAATGTTTGTAATTCCATTAGAATGTCTTAAAATACCTTGAAATGACAAACTAGTCAAATTGTCAATTAAAGGAATAATTTAATGATTGGAACCTATTCATGCAATTTTTCAACATTATCATTTTGATACAAGGGAAAAAAGTCATGTTCCTCTATCAACTTAACAGAATTAAGTATAAAAATTCTAAAAAGTAAGCTAAAATTTAAAATGTCACCATTTTTCCCAGTTGAAAAAGAGAATGAACAAAGAAGAAAACAACGAGCAGAAATTGAAGACGTTGGCCAAGTTTTATCCGTGACGATTCATCGTACTGACAAATTGAAAAATGACTTTCATATCTTGCATCCACTTGTCCGTGTCCATATTGTTGATGAGAATACTGGGGAATATCTTCTGAAGCAAACAAAGTACGTATTTAGATAAGTACTAACAAATTTCAACATTAAAGAATACAAAAATTCAATTGTTTGTTTTTAGATCAAATTGATTAAGAGATACTTGTATTTATTATTTATGTATGGTGCCAAAAGAGGACATTGACAACTGTTGTGAAAGTTAAATTATGTGTTGATATTGCTGTGTGATAGTAAATGAGGTTCATGGCAAATTCGACATTTGCATTACAAAATTCCGCCAACTAGTGGCACATTGATGACATATCTTGTTATAGTCTCTATTATCATGTATTTGTTGATGACATTGAATGTTAGCGACCTATTTTTGCATGCATTGTTAATGTGTGCTGTGTGTGTATAAAAAAGGGTATTTTTTATAGTTTGTTCTTTGAAATCATTAGCTGAATTCGGTATACGTATAGTTACTTTCCCAAACTCTAACATTATACAGTAACATTTAAACATATTTTTGGTGCCTGTTATTTATTGAATTGCTTTTGAAAAATATAATCATTTCCTGAAGCTTTTAATTCATTTATTCTTGTGACACGACACTGGGCAAAGGTATTTTGCATAGCGAATATTAAAGATTTAAATCTAAAAAGTATAATTGTCATAAAGCTTGGCAACATTTATAACATGATCCTTATCCTGATTTATATCCTTTGCAAAAACTGTTGTATTTAGTAAACTGGTCAATTTAAAATTGCAGAATGATAGTTCTTCTTGTTGACAAACTTTTCTCATATCTGTAGATAAATGTATGACTTCATTTCTGGTCTGCGGCTTGACAGGGATAACATTTAACATGTTAATGCTTTTCAGATCTATCAGATGACAATTTTCTGTTTTCTGATACTTTGAATTACTAGAAGGGTATACTTTATAGCACAACAATGCTGTTTATGCTTTAGTTGAATGTAGCTTAAATGTATTGAAGTGTTTATTGTATCTATGTTTATTTTATTTTCAGAGATCGACCTGTCACAGCTTATTTTGAGACTAAGAATGAGGCAATAGATAAGATTTTACCTATAATGACACAACCTTTTGACTTCAAGCAAAAGAAGTAAGGAAATTATTGCCAGGTTTTTATTAGAGTAAATAATGTATTTGGTGATTATACACCTTATCGCTATTTGTCCGCCATTACTGGACATCACACAAGTTCCCGTAAAATTTTGACGTCATAATAGAAAATATCTGGCGCCACAATGGAAAAGGGATTGTTGTATGACGTCAAAAGTTGGAGCGGGACTGATTCTCAGGTCAAGCGGGATTAGCGATAAGGTGTATTGCAATAATAAGAACTCGCATTCTGATATCTGATACATATATCTGTATGCAGATTTTCCTGAAATCACAATTATCAATCTCACATTTTTGTCCATTCTTCATACACCGCATTAATAAATGCATGCAATAATTTCTGAATTTACAGTATTCATCAAATAAAATATACCACAGTGTAACACTACTTACTATCTTACAATAAAGATTGTTTGGCTGAATTATTGATTGTTTACTGAACAGCCGTCCAACAAAAAGAAAACATAAAACAAAGTTAGTATATAATATTTTGTCATTTTATACTGGAGCACAGTTGGTCAACATGAAAAAAAAAAGAAAAAAGTGAATCTGTATGAAATATTTTGGTTCAGTATAACAAAGTATATCCAACTCAGTTAGATGTTATCTTTGCTTATGAAAAGAGAAAAGGGTATAACATATTTAGTTATATGGATATATAACAGTGAGTTTAAATATGATAAAAAGATATTACAAGCTGGTCGCATGAAATTCATGATCAAAAAGTTTATCTCTTCAGAAATTTACAAGCATGTAAAGAGGACTTACAGCTAATCTACCCTATTTTTCAAAGAAAATACTTTAATGATTAATGTTCATATGTTTATTCATATTGAGAATTCAACACCAATGTGCACTATCTTCATACATTACTGTTGTTTATAATTATTATAATTTTTCAAAGTTTTATATTATGATATACATGTATTTAAGGTCTGTATTGCCTGTATGGGAAGAGCTATTGCTGTTTAATGAGAACTACAATTATTTTACAAAATCTGACCCTAAAGTCATTGTCCTGTTTGAGGTAGGTTTCTGTTATAGTATACTATAGAAATCTAACATTATTTTTCATTTGTTTTTTTAATGTTAACTGTTGTAATGCCAAGAATAAAATTATATTTTTGTGATCATTTTTCCCTACTTAGAAAAAATGGGTTAACTTAAAAGTAGTCATTGATGTTTTGAAACAAATATGTATATTACTCTCAACCTATTATGATTTATTCAATATTCTTTTCTCTCTCTCTCTCTCTCTCTCTCTCAAATTTTTAGAGGATGAAATAGACTAATTGATTATACATCAAGCAAATAATATTTCAAGTTTGGTTATGTCTTTTTATCGACTACCTTTAATGTATTGATCATTATCTTTGCCAACATTTACCCCTATATGGTATTTCATAGTACTTCTGACACTATTAAAATCCCTAGATATCAACTACCCGGTATTATTTTTTTCTTTTTAGCTGCTTGACTTCGTTAGTATGAACCATGCCAATGTAAAGTTTTCTTCCCAAGGGAGTGAAGGAGGATGGTACAGAATAGCCTGGGCATTTCTAAAGGTATTATTTGAAATAAGAAACCAGTATACACCTACATGTATATTTGGTCTCCTTTTGAGTTCATTCACCACATCACATATGGACTGAATGCCTGTATGTTAATATTGCATTAAGCATATACTGCAATATTTAGGGCTATAAATGGAAATGAGACCTTCAACATTAGAAAATTGGTTTTCTACTTTCATCTAAAAAAAAAAAATAAGCACATGGACCCAATTTGTATCAAAACTGGAAACAAAAGGTATGTTAGATGTTTTTTTTCACACATTTGTAGTTGCAACACAAGTATTTCTTATATCTGTTTTAAAATCTTCTGCTTGTTTAAAAACACAATTAAAAAAATGATCTGTTAGCTACAACTGAAAAAGTATAATTGTAGATGCACATTATCCTAGTTTATAAAATGTTTTGCATCTTAAAATTTATGGCTTTAACTTGTGAATTATTTTTTGTACAGGTTTTAGGAAATAATAATAAATTAAATACTGGTTCTAAAGTGAGATTGCAGCTATTTGAACCACCATCTTCACAAATGCGGACGGGACCAAATCAACCCGAGGTGATTATAACCAATGTGTATTCTTAATGTGCTAATTCTAGTTTTATTGTGTTAATGGGTTGCTGTCTCATTTATATATATCCCACATCTCCTTTTATTCATGTCAACTTTTGTCAAATGATTATATTTTTTAGAAAAACTTTGATTTCCAAAGTGTATTTTTCAATATGAACATGATTGTTGACAAAGAATGGAACATTCCTCTACAGACAGTTCTACAGACAGTGATAGATACATGTTTTGTATCTATCTGTTTTCGGCTGTTGTCTGCTCTATGGTCGGGTTGTTGTCTCTTTGACACATTCCTTATTTCCATTCTCAATTTTATTTGATATGTATGTTATTGACACTGTTACAATCTGTGATAGACTTCAAAAGCAATTATTCTGTATATTTTACAGCTGTTATCCTAATGCTAGCAAGTTAAAGGGTTGGCTGGCTTGCTTGCTTTGTTTGTATAAAAGTTTGCTCAAGCATTGCAATTAAAACTGACATCTGCAAACAATATAAGTAGGCGGAGTTAAACCTGTATATAGGTACATTTTATTATTTGATAATGTCCAATCAAATTTAGATATAATGTATACAAGTTTAACGCCGCCTTTTTATATTGTTGTCATATGTCAATCTTAATTACAATGCTTGAGCAAACATTAATACAAACAAAGCAAGCAAGCAAACCAAACTTTTAACTTGCTAGCATTAGGATAACAGCTGTAATAAAGTTATTAGTATCGTCCAACATACATGACATAGGTATAAGTTGTGTCTTCTAATCATTTTTTTTAACTTAAGGAAACAATCACATATGTGACAAATATGAGAACACACTTACATATATGACATATGACACACATTGGGACACACTTACACATATGACACATATAAGATATAAGTACAAATTTACACAAATTATTATACACTTAATATTATTTTACAACTACATATTTGACACACGTTATTTAACACGTGCATATTTGACACACATTAGTTAGGATGTACTTATATATTTGACACACATTAGTTAGGATGTACTTACATATTTGTCACACATTATTATACACTTACATATATGACTCTAATAAATGGCCTTGTAAAGGGTTTTTTTTTAACTTCAATTATTAAAGGAAATCTAATGTGTATGTATTGCTAAATGTATGATATTTGAAAGTATGATAAAAAAAAATTGTATATCTGCATCCTATTCATATAGATATTAGCTTAAAATAGGAAAAGATTTTATTTTTTGGCCATTTTCCTAGAAATTTTCAACTTTTTCCATCTATTTTTTCATGATTTTATATATGGCGCCACCCCTCGCCCATTGAAATATTTGTTACAAAATAAAGAATATGGTATAAAATGAAAATTTCAGCAAAAATATTTGTGGGTGAAGGGTGCCGCCACTGTTAATTTTTCAGAATTCTACCAAAAATCAGGTTTTAACGAAATTCACCTACATATGACATCACAAATACATCATTAATGACGCAGTTGGTAAAAATCTTTATTTAGCTGCAACAATTGGACATTTAAACATATGTTTTCATAAAATTTTCACCACATTATAGCAGTGAAAAATATTCAGATTTTTAGGGCCAAAATTATGAGTGAACCAACTCCTTTACACTTAATATTTGTTGACCATTAGGACATACTGACATATATGACATATATTAGGATAAACTTAGATATTTGACACACATTATTACACACTTACATATTTGGAACACATTAGGATATTCTTCTATATTTAGCACACATACTGATACATTACTATCCTATTGTTGTAGGTTTACCAGTGGTGGAAGTCCTCACAAAGACGACCATATCCATCTACAGTATATGTAACATTAAAAGGTATAACACCACCTGATGAAGTGGAACCTGCACTAAGATCTATGTTTGCTACACAAAAGGTAATTAAGAACATTTTATTTTGAACTCCTCATGGAATATAAGTCACTCCCATTAGAGATAAAGACAGCAGAAAGAGGGTAAATTTAAAATCAGTTTGACTTTACTAATTAATTAAGGCCTTGGTCTGTTTAGGCTATGTGATCTATTACTTCCTTCACTGTCTAACAAAGATGTCTGTTGGTTAATTATGTTAGGAATTCCATTTCTTAGTAATTATGATTTAATATAATGATATTTTTATAATCTTCAGTTTTACTTGGAAATTAATTTCTAGGAAATCAGATTTGTTTTTTTTTCTTAGGATAGTATACACATCAGACCATTTGTTTGTCAATTTTGGATTTTAGATACAATACGTTGCCTACGTGATGTCTTACTTGTAATTTTTTGTTTAATTTAGTAGTAGTCTCATTAATGTACACCCCACATATCCTTTTATTGATATATAAATGAAACGTATATTTCTTTCCCAGGAAGAAGGATTTACAACGTATCAAGATTTAAAGAAGAGTGTTAGTTGGGGAGATAAGAAGAGAAGGTATGATATATTTGACTGTTAAAATTATCAGAGTACCAAAACAAAAGAACACAAAATTATACTAGTGTCAAATTATATTCTTGTAACTGAACAGTTTAATTTGAATTTTAGTTTTCTAAAATGTATTAAGTATTGAAATCAATATTGCCCAGGTATGCCGAGGGGTTTTAGGTGACTTAATCATAGATGTACCTGAGGTCCACCTGAGCAGGTATGCCCAGGGGTTTTAGGTGACTTAATCATAGATGTACCTGAGGTCCACCTGAGCAGGTATGCCCAGGGGTTTTAGGTGAATTAATCATAGATGTACCTGAGGTCCACCTGAGCAGGTATGCCCAGGGGTTTTAGGTGACTTAATCATAGATGTACCTGAGGTCCACCTGAGGTCCACCTGAGCAGTTTTGGTTTCAACACCTGATAACTTTTTATTAAACAGCTCTATATTTAATTGAAATAGAAAATTATCAGTCACAATGAAATTGTTAATGTAATTTTGTCTGTTATGTTAAGTTGACTGAAAATGTGTAGGACAATTTAAGACTGAGACGACTTAAACAGGCTAACACATTTAAAAGTAGCTATAAACACTGTTAAAAACTTAATCTCAGACAATAGGACCTTCATCAAGAATCTGGAGAGATGTCAGATGTAGTGGCAGGGTGGCATGCATCACTTGTTGATGATACCAAAAGGTTCACATGGTATTCAACATCACATAAGTTATGTTAAGTATGATATAATTAAACAAACAAGAAGTGGATACTGCTCATGAAAGAGAGAAAAAACAGTTGAAGATCACATATGCTTGAGGAGGTTGAACCTAGTTTATACTGAAATTTCTCAATTTATAAAGTGTAAATTTCTACAGAATTTTTTCTACAACTGTTGTCAATAATGAAACTTTGACTGCAGGGACAATAACTAAACTAATCGCATTTAAAATTCTTATAAATAAATTTTTCATGATATTATATATAACTGTAGATTTTTACAAATATTTCAATCAATGATGTTATATGATTGCAGAGATAGTACCAGACATACTCTATCATCTTGGACCAGACTTGTGGGTCAGACATGTAGGATTCCTAATCATTTAGAAAACATGATACCAGGAGGAAGAAGAGGTTGTTATGTTCTTAAATTCTCCCATGATGGCAGGTAAGAATAAGACATTCATATGTTTTTAATTTTTTTTATAATTTTATACCAAACTTTTCCAAGAAATAAAGAAATGAACTACAGTTGCTAATGTCTATGTCATTTGGTCTCAGTTTGAGAGTTGTCTCATTGGCAATCATACCACATCTACTTATTTTTATAAGCTGAGGAAAATGTCAAGGTATCTAAAAGTAATATTTCTAATATGAAAAACCTGGTCTAATTGTTGAAACTGTCTTTTGAATACAGCAATTTATAATGTCACCAGGGTTTATAATTACAACCATACACACATAAATACCTTGTCTGCATCAATAAGGTATAGCTGATGGATGGAAAAAAATAAAAGACTCATTAAGTGTGCATTCTTACTTTGCTTGAATGACCTTCTTTTCACAAAATTAAAGCCCTTGAACTATACATTTCTCAAGCCCTGCATTTGTTTTTGAATTAATGTATGTCAGCATATAATTAAATGTCTTTGGACAAAACTTTACATTTTGTTTAGTTAGAAAATCTGTTAGAAATTTTATATATAGTGGTATATGAATTGATCTTATAACAAACTTTTTGAGGTTTATGCACAACAAAAGCAACAGAAAGCACATTTCTTTAGCCATAATGGCCAAGAAAAAAACTCTCCATATGCACAAAATTTCAAGACAGACTTGAAAAATCTTGTGTTTGGCTTGTTATAATAACATGAAAGTCCTACAAAACTTATAAATTTATATTCCAGGAGTTTAGCCTGTGGATGCCATGATAGAGATAGTTACCCAATTCTAGTCTATGAAGTAAGTATGTCTAACAGAATCTTTTCACCTATTGTCTATTTTGTATGGTTTTAACAAGTTTTCTTTTAATCTTTTAAAATGGATATTGTTAAAAAAAGTTATTTTAGTTAGGTATTAGGATGAAAGTTTTCTTTAAGTAAATCATTGGCATATATATGTAGATATATGCATTGAAAAATTCTTTTATTCCTATAGATTTAGGGGAAAACATTATTGTATTTGAAGATTTGTGGGCTGATGGTCTCAAATTGAGTTTGTTGTTGATACAAACCTAGTAAACAGATATTTGCGATTATCAAATAAAAAAAATTGATGCCAGCAAATCTTCAAATACAATACTTATCTCCATTCTAATGCAACTGAGAGAAGAAGAAAAACACAGCTAAATCATACATATGCATTTTAAAATCAGTCACATGATGTTCCTGTTTGTGCTCACAATCGACACCTTCAATCATGGAATTGATGTCCTGAAATTGTGGTCTTATCCAATCAAAATTAAAGTTACCATGTTGCAAAATTTGTGAAAATATTCTTGTAAAAAAGGAGTGTTTATTACTCATATTGCTATAAATGTAGGTAGATGAAAATTTGGTAATTGAGATATTAGTTTTAGATATAAAAATTAAAACATATTGAGTTCTTGTGTCATTTAATCTGCAAGTTTCATTAAAAAAAACTTAATGTTACAACTATCTTGCTAATTTAGGTGCCATCTTTTGAACTGAAAGGAAAATTAAAAGGACATTTTGGTATTGTTTATGATCTGTCGTGGTCAAAAAGAGATACACATTTATGTTCAGCATCATCTGATGGCACTGTCAGGTGAGTATTTACATTGTACAATCTGAAAGACCTGAAAGTTGCTAAATTAATGAAATCAAATATTATTTATTGTTTAATTTTCTTCTGAAATAACTTTTTGCAGTTACTGGGACAAACTCTGACAGTAAAAATTGATAGTACAAAAGAAGGATATAGATTTCAAGTAAAACATTTATTTGCCATGAACATTTAATGTAACCTATCTATCAAAACTTCAGTCACAATATTCTGTACAATACATGTATATTGTTTCACGCATTTTTATCTTAATATCTCTTAGAGTATGGAATTTAGAAGACTTTGATAAAGCTGAGAAGATTTTACCTCATCCAGCCTATGTATATACATCTCAGTTCCATCCCCGTATTGACACCATTGTTGTAACAGGGTGTTACGATCAAGTAATACGTGTGTGGGATATACAGGGAGAGGATGTCCATGGAAATGTAAGTAGTCTTAGGTTCATTTCTGTGTCATTTTGTCTCTTGTGGAGAGTTGTATCATAGGCAATCATACCACATCTTCTTATTTTTATATAAGTTGGTTTGTTATGATCTGATAGTATATGTCTGACACGCCTACACACAAAACACATATAGAGGAATAAGTTGTATATTGAAATGTAATAAGATTTGATAAGTTGTTATGATCGTAAATATTCTTGGACACTCTAAAGTTGGATGTCAATGGAACTGTCTGCAGGTACATACCATTCCCATCTAGATATTATTGTTCTCATTTCTTGTTTTTGTCAACTGATACATTACATATGTGTGGAGATAATACACATAAATGTGTTAGAAACAGGCACTCTGTATTTCATATATTTAAAAGTCAGTAGTAAATATCTTGGAAGTTTTATTGTGTGGTTTTTCTAAAAATCATATAAAGTATCTGTTGTGATTGCAGTAAAAATAAGACTTAGTATACATAGGAGATATAACATAGGTTATATATACAAAGTTTTATAACTTTTTTAGTTTTATTTTATAAGCAAAAACCTTTCACATGACACATTAATAAAGATTAAATGAAGTGTTGAAGCAACAATCAATGTATTTAGTATAATCAATGCAGATTAAAAATGAAGTACTAGAAATCTGCAAAAAAAAAATGTAAAGCATGCATACTTCATATTTACAATAAAAATATTTTCTATCCTGAACTTTGAAAACAGGTTTGTTCTTTTGATTGGATGTTTGTAAATACAGTTTATTTCCAGGAATGACCTTAATTCACGAACTTATTTATGATGCATGAACATTTATTTCAAAACTATCTGGTTCTGTCATTTAAAGTGATTTTCTTTCATCATCTTAATTCTTTATCAAAAAGTTCACTAAATCTTAGCACAGTCTCTGGTGTTGATTTGGTGGTATGCCTTCGTCAGTATGTTTTCAGTTCTAAAAATAGAGAATTTGGAATTGTTATGCACATCACAAGACAAAATTGCATTAAGTACTCAAAAGACAAGAAAATTACAAAAAAAAAGAACAGCATTTTAATTCTTCTTATTAGTCCCATACCGATGAAGTCGAAGGGGACTTTAGGTTTGCACTCTGTCCGTCTGTCTGTCAATCGGGCAAATCAGTTTTCCACAGAAAATTCACTCAAATAATCAGTTTTCGACACTTTTTTTCTTCATACTTGAAGATTTTGATTTGATAATTGGTATATAGTTTTATCATGACAAGTTACAGATCAAGTTCAAATTTTGTTTCGGTCTGATTATTTTGTGCAGAGTTATGGTCCTTGGACTTGGAAAATTCACTCAAATAATCAGTTTTCCACACCTTTTTTCCTCATGCTTGATGATATTGACTTAATATTTGTTATGTAGTTTACAACATGACAAGTTATTGATTAAATTAGCATTTTGTTCCAGTACAATGAATTTTTAACCGGTAGGGGACTATGTATTGCCATGCAATACTCTCAGAATGCTTGCTGATGTACAATTTTGATGATGTAAGTTAGATTTTTAGATTTTTCATTTTCCTGAAATTCTCTTTTCTTTACTTTGAATTGTTGTCAGAATTCATTAAAATATTTTTCTCAACTATACTTCTCAAATTGGTTAAAATTAAATTAAGTATGAATGATTGATAAATAATTTATACCACTATACCACGATAATTATATATATTTTTTTGGTTTTATAATTTTAGCTAAAGCAAGAAATAGAGAGTCACAAAGGATATGTGAATTCTGTATGTTTTGATAGTGATGGACAGAAAATGTACTCTGCAGACAGTATTGGAAGTATCAGTATCTGGAATGTGTTTGTAACAGAACAGCCACACCATAGAGGTAACTGAAGTGAAATTATTCCATTATATCATACAATTTACTTTAATGTTTAGTATTGCAGCCTAACAAATTATGCTTTATTAATGCTTGATTGTATTTAATTTTTTTCCCGCCTTGAGAAAGTAGAAAAAGTGAGAAGTAGGCATGCTGTTTACTGTTGGCAAGTATTTGTTTGTGTTTGGTAAGTTTAAGGGAACCACTAGTGGTAGGCTAATGATATTTGTTATAAAGTGGTATTAGCATCCACAAATATCATTTCCAGGGAGATTAGTGGCCACGCCTCCATAGTCATGATCTATTGACTTTAAAATTTTTGCATAGTTTACATGTTAAAGTCAGTGTTTGTCAGTTTAAAGGAAACCACTTATGATAAGTTAATGGTATTTGGTATGCAGTTGTATAAGCATTGGCATTTCTCGTTTCCACAGAGGTTATTTTGCCCTCCACCTTCAGTCATGGTTCGTTGACTTTGAATGTTTTGCATAATTAACATGTTCAAGTACTGCCATTTTAAGTTTTAACAATTGCATTATACTATCAAAATTACATAAAGGTGTGTAATGAAACTATAAATGTAGCACCTTTAATGTTCTACTTAAAAACCACTTTATTTTATCCCATATCATACACAGTAGTAATTTATTATTCACTGTTTGAAAATCTAAAGAACTATGGGTAATTCCATTGTTTGTACCCCAAAATGAAAGTAATGTCAAATCATTGGTTTAATTTCCGTTGTTTGAGCGTTGTTAGCCAATGACAACATTTTGTTTTACACTTTTGAAGATATTATTTGAAATGCATTAGATTGGAAGTGGTGATTTCAACCTGCAAACACCTACCACATTTCTTTTAAATGTGAATATAAGAAGATGTGGGTGTAAATCAATTGACACAGTATTATCTTTCATTCTACAGAAGATTAGTATAATTAAGCTGGTATTGAAGTTTTTACTGCACTGAACATGATGTTTTGGATTAAACTTAATAAAGATCTCTCAGATACACAAGTTTAGAAATAGTATAAGTTATCCTGTGATGGAAATGGGCCTGAAACTAATAAGGGTTGTTCCATTAAAACAGACATCATTTTGTTTATTTTCTTTGGTTACATCTTCTGACATCAGACTCAGACTTCTCTTGAACTGAATTTTAATGTGCATATTGTTATGCGTTTACTTTTCTACATTGGCTAGAGGTATAGGGGGAGGGTTGAGATCTCATAAACATGTTTAACCCCGCCGCATTTTTGCGCCTGTCCCAAGTCAGGAGCCTCTAGCCTTTGTCAGTCTTGTATTATTTTTAATTTTAGTTTCTTGTGTACAATTTGGAGTTTAGTATGGCGTTCATTATCACTGAACTAGTATATATATTTGTTTAGGGGCCAGCTGAAGGACGCCTCCGGGTGCGGGAATTTCTCGCTGCATTGAAGACCTGTTGGTGACCTTCTGCTGTTGTCTGTTCTATGGTCGGGTTGTTGTCTCTTTGACACATTCCCCATTTCCATTCTCAATTTTATTGTACCCAGGAAAGGCACTTGAATAATAGAGTAACCACCCGTAGAAGGAATTTGAGTAGATATACATTTTTTCAGGACGTGCCATTTTAGCTTTTTATATGGTGTGGGATTTGCTCATAGTTGAAGGCCATCATTTGGTCTCTGGTAGATAGTGTCTAATTGGCAATCATACCACATCTTCTTATTTTTATATCTATGTATATTTCAGAACCATCCAGAGTGGCAAATTCAAATTGCCTTCCCTGGGTCCCATGTATGTTTTTCTAAATTCAACTTTACATTAGAGAGTTGGAATCTTTGTTTTTGTTAAAACTACCAAATTTAACAAACAAGTATAACTTGTGATCAATTCAATTTTAGATTATTTTTGCGGAAAGGGATTAGGTTCATTGTTCCATACAATATTTTGTTTTGTTTTGTTTTTTTATTTTTTCATTGAGTGCAGTTTTCAAATTGTTTTATATATGCGGTGTTAAATATTATTTCTTTTGTCATATTTCGACTAAAATGCTTTTGCAAGTTTTTTGTTTGTTTTGCCTTTTATATAATAAGCCTTTTCAGCTACCATATAATGTCCTTGTGTATCAAACTTATAATTTTACAGACCAGAATAAAAGCGGTATGTATTTTTGAGTGTGGAAGTGGAATACAGATTAACAGTAGTGTCTTACAACTCTATATTAATATATAAAAGTGTCATGAGTGTCTGTTTCAAATTAAGTATATGTTTTATTCCCCCTTACATCAATGAGAACATTGTGACTTACTTGGTTTTGAGCAGTCTTTTTGGACTGCACATTTTAATCAAGCCTTAGTGTTTTCTATTTTTAGATTATGATATTTAGTTTTTGTAAAAACCTATGCAGTGCGCTAAAACTCGTGTAATTTTAGTGCAACATTCAATTCATATACAGAACTCTGAATAATATTCTGTGCGTTGCACAAAATTTTCTGATAATTTCTGCACAGCCCAAGTGATTTTCATACAGTTTTCTCATGATTTTGATAAAATTGACAGGGTCAAAAACTAAAAATCCATGATTGAAAATGATTGAAAATTTTAAGTTAAACTATACATCAATCATTGGTTTTACAGTTGCACAAAATATCTTTTTATTTCCACCTACAAGTTGTTCACATGCTACAAAATCAAATTGGAGTTGTAAAATTGATTTGTGATAAAAAAAGCTTTAAAAGTACCTCAGTATTCAAATGCAATACTTATTCCTTGAATTTATGGGTATTAAATGTACACACAATTTATAGAAAAGTAGGTATGTGTAAATATAATGTCATCAGAAAGCAAGCCAGCCTTCTAATGGTTTTCATTAAATGCCTTACAACTTCATTAATAACTAAGTTATTAACTTATACTCTATAACTCAATCAGGGTAATGGTATTAATACACCTATCAGACAATTTGCACAATTTAATTGTTTTAATTGCCAATAAAGATGGCTTTTTAATATTGTATACTGAGTGCAGTGAGTGAATTCAAATTTGCAGTTAAAGTGTCTTTAAAGATAAAACAATACCATTGACATGGCTAGTTTTGCTTTTCTTTGTTTTAGAATGAAGCTTTCAAATGTTATTTCAAAAACTACCCTATTTGGGCATGCATAATCCATGGTTTTTTACTCCAAAATTAAAAAAATGCCAGGCAGGGGTGCAGATTATAGAGTACAATAACCAAGAAATAAGAGAAAAACTTCATTTTGCCATGTTTGTTCTTGAAATTGTAGAGGGCTCTCTTACTTCTTTTCATTTCTTTTCAAATAATTTAATAATTTACCTTCTATATTAATATGCAACTTTAATTTAAAAATCTAATATTTACAGGTAAATATCAAAATATAATACCTTCATTAGAAATTTCTCCTTTCTTTTCATTGCATTGCATAATGACAAAAAGTAATTGGTTATTCTTTCAGATTTGGTGTTTCATACTGCTGTATTTAATTTGTTTCAGCTACAGGTCCTTCAAACATTTTAAAATGTGATGAATAAATTGAACAATATTTTACTAAAGGACTGTTTTACTTTCAAACTCATATTTTTTTCTAATATCTGTTAAGTGTGGAATTTATGAACAGTCTCAGTATTTCTTTGCGATTTACACATTCTTTTCATATTTCTGGTGGTTAATGACAAACACAATTGTCTAGTGTTTTTTTGTGATTTTGGCTTATTTTAACACTCATGCAGGGTTCTAGAATCATTTACAAATATTTTCAACTTCTACTTGATGATGGAAAACATGTTTTTTCAATGAAAATACAGCAAAGAATCAAACATGACTTGAAATAAGTGGAGTTTCACCGGATGTTTTCAACAAGTGCCAAAAATTGTTTTTTCCTGAATTCCTGTTGCAAAAAAAAAAGTCTGCGTATTATGAACAAATGTGTAATGAATTTTGGCTAGGTAAAAATGTAATGGCTTTAATTTAGTAATGAAATGGCCAAAAAGACCACAGCAAACTCTAGAAATAGTATGATATATTTGCATATAATTTTTAAACACTTAGTTGAAAAATAAATGTCAAATCTTAATCACACAATTTAATTTTTGGCAAATTGTACCTTTCATTCTCTTAACTACCGGCATTAGATATGTTTATGCCTCCGCCACAGCTGAGGGGGCATTGTGTGTTACCTTTGACTGTCTGTACGTCAATACCTAAGTTCGTCTATGTCCATACGTACGTCCGGCAATTGGTTTCTGTTCTCTAACTTTAGTTTGCCTCAACCAAATGTTTTGAAACTTATACGCAATGCTTATTACCACAAAACACAGATCAAGTTTGAGTTATTGCCCTTTAAAACATTATATGCAAGTGGGGCATCATCAGTGTCCCATGGACACATTCTGCATTTATTTCTAATTTTTGACTATTAGGTATTTTTTTTAATTTTATAATGTTCTCTGACATTACTACTTAAAGTGACACTTATTTAAAAACTAACATGCTAAGGAAGACGGATAAAGTACAAAGGAACTACAGTTTTAAAAAAATGTAGAGAAAAGCAAAGTTGTTGAAATTTTAGTCTAATATTAAAGTGGAACATTCATGTTGAAAGGAAAATGCAAAAAAAAAAATAGGAAATGAAGCTTAAGATTTGGAAAGTATTCATATTACATTTCTCTTAACATTAGTGATTATTTTTACAGGTTTCATGAGAGACTGGACATTGTTCCATACAATATCAGATCCAGAATTAAAGGTCAGTATAGGTATAGAGCAAGAAAAACCTTTTAAAAATGTACACAATCACAATTTGTTTGTTTACTGATATTTATAACAAAATTATAAAGAATAAAGAATAATTATCATTTTGATTTCATCTTTAATTTCAGCAATGATTTGGAATATTAATAGTATATTTAAATAAAATGTTGAACCTAGAAAAGAATAAAAAAACTTGTGCCCCAGGTACTGGACATTGTTTCTCAAAGCACACATAAGACTTGTGCTCATTTCTTATAATGTATAAATCTTACAAACAAAAAAGCTGAAGATGCCTTATTATTGATTGATTGATTGATTGATTGTTGGTGCATATTTACCACTCTTGGCTATATCATGCCTGTCAGTTTTTATTGATGGAGTAAGTCTGAGTATAGAGAGAAACACCGACTTGCACCAGGAAAACAGGCAATCCAGTAGGCCATATTAAAACAGTAATCTGATGTTTATATATAGATTTTACCACTGCATCAAGTGTTGTACAATATTTATTTACTTGAGACAGTTAAATTTTCAAATTTAAAACGGGAGGCTCACCGACCGTCCTAAATAATTATAATTTAACTCTCGAGAGTGGATAAATATATCATATTGCACAAGATTTGGTGGTGGAATGTGTTTCTCTAATAATTTTTGTCGAGCCTGCGACTTTTGTCGCAGAAACTCGACATAGGGATAGTGATCCCGCGGCGGCGTTAGCTAACTTCTTAAAAGCTTTATATTTTAGAAGGTGGAAGACCTGGATGCTTCATACTTTGTATATGGATGCCTCATGTTAAGAAGTTTCCGTCAGTCACATGTCCAATGTCCTTGACCTCATTTTCATGGTTCAGTGACTACTTGAAAAAAAAGTTAACATTTTTTGTAATGTAAAATTCTTTCTTATTATAAGTAATAGGATAACTATATTTGGTATGTGCGTACCTTGCAAGGTCCTCATGCCTTTCAGACAGTTTTCACTTGACCTCGACCTCATTTCATGGATCAGTGAACAAGGTTAAGTTTTGGTGGTCAAGTCCATATCTCAGATACTATAAGCAATAGGTCTAGTATATTGGGTGTATGGAAGGACTGTAAGGTGTACATGTCCAACTGGCAGGTGTCATCTGACCTTGACCTCATTTTCATGCTTCAGTGGTTATAGTTAAGTTTTTGTGTTGTGGTCTGTTTTTCTTATACTGTATGCAATAGGTCTACTATATTTGGTGTATGGAATGATTGTAAGGTGTACCTGTCTAGCTGGCAGGTGTCATCTGACCTTGACCTCATTTTCATGGTTCAGTGGTCAAAGTTAAATTTTTTAGTTTTGGTCTTTTTTTCTAATACTATATGCAATAGGTCAACTATTTTTGGTGTATGGAAATATTTTATGATCTATATGCAGTCGCGCATGTTTCATTTGACCTTGACCTCATTTTTACGGTTCATTGATCAGTGTTAAGTTCTTGTGTTTTGGTCGGTTTTTCTTATACTGTATGCAATAGGTCTACTATATTTGGTGTATGGAATGATTGTAAGGTGTACATGTCTAGTTGGCAGGTGTCATCTGACCTTGACCTCATTTTCATGGTTTGGTGGTTTTACTTAAGTTTTTGTGTTTTAGTCTGTTTTTCTCATACTGTTTGCAAAAGGTCTACTATATTTGGTGTATGGAATGATTGTAAGGTGTACATGTCTAACTGGCAGGTGTCATTTGACCTTGACCTCATTTTCATGGTTCAGTGGTCAAAGTTAAGATTTTGAGTTTTGGTCTTTTTTTCTAATACTATATGCAATAGGTCAACTATATTTGGTGTATTGAAATATTTTATGATCTATATGTCAGTCGCGCAGGTTTTATTTGACCTTGACCTCATTTTCACAGTTCATTGCTCAGTGTTAAGTTTTTGTATTTTGGTCTGTTTTTCTTAAATTATACATTGCTATAAGCAATATGGCAACTATATTTGTTGTAATGAAGAATTGTTAGCTGTACATGCCTGCCTGGCATGGTTCATCTGACCTTGACCTCATTTTCATGGTTCATTGGTCAATGTTTAGTTTTCTTGGTTAATGTCAAGTTTATGTGACAGTTGTAATAAAGCTTTATATTTAGGACTATCAACATAATATCAATGATTAGTAAAGAAGGCGAGACATTTCAGCGTGTGCACTCTTGTACTGTATGCAATAGGTGTACTATATTTGGTGTATGGAATGATTGTAAGGTGTACATGTCTAGTTGGCAGGTGTCATCTAACCTTGACCTCATTTTCATGGTTTGGTGGTTTAACTTAAGTTTTTGTGTTTTAGTCTGTTTTTCTCATACTGTTTGCAATAGGTCTACTATATTTGGTGTATGGAATGATTGTAAGGTGTACCTGTCTAGCTGGCAGGTGTCATCTGACCTTGACCTCATTTTCATGGTTCAGTGGTCATTGTTAAATTTTTTAGTTTTGGTCTTTTTTTCTAATACTATATGCAATAGGTCAACTATTTTTGGTGTATGGAAATATTTTATGATCTATATGCAGTCGCGCAGGTTTCATTTGACCTTGACCTCATTTTTACGGTTCATTGATCAGTGTTAAGTTCTTGTGTTTTGGTCGGTTTTTCTTATACTGTATGCAATAGGTCTACTATATTTGGTGTATGGAATGATTGTAAGGTGTACATGTCTAGTTGGCAGGTGTCATCTGACCTTGACCTCATTTTCATGGTTTGGTGGTTTTACTTAAGTTTTTATACGACTGCAAAAAAATTTTTGTGGTCGTATATTGGTATGACGTTGGCGTCGTCGTCGTCGTCCGGCGTCGTCGTCGTCGTCCGAAGACACATTGGTTTTCGCACTCTAACTTTAGTTTAAGTGAATGGATCTTTATGAAATTTTACCACAAGGTTCAATACCACAAAAGGAAGGTTGGGATTGATTTTGGGGGTTATGGTAATAACAGTAAAGGAATTGGGGGCCAAAAAGGGGCCAAAAATAAGCATTTTTGTAACTTCCAGACATAACTTGTGTGTTAGTGTATGGATCTCTCTGACATTGTACCACAAGGTTCCATATCACTAAAGGAATGCTGGGATTGATTTTGGGGGTAATTGCCTCCAAATTTTAGGAATTAGGGGCCAAAAAAGGGGCAAAAAACAAGCATTTTTCTAGTTTCATGACAATAACTTGTGTGTAAGTGTATGGATCTTTCTGAAATTGTACTACAAGGTTCCATATCACAAAGGGAAAGCTGGGTTTGAGTTTGGGGGTAATTGCCCTAAACGTTTAGGAATTTGGGGCCAAAAAGGGGCCAAAAAACACATTTTTTTCTAGTTTCCAGACAATAACTTGTGTTCAAGTGTATGGATCTCTCTGAAATTGTACTGCAAGGTACCATACCACAAAGGGAAGGCTGGGATTGAGTTTGGGGGTGATGAATCATAATGGGGGTTCAAAAAATTTTTGGGGGGGATTTATTTTTTTTTCCTTTTTTTTATTTTTTTCCTTTTTTGTTTCTTTTAAAATTTTCCATTTTAAGTTGGTTATTTCTGATTTATATTTAAAATCAAATAATAATGATATGGTAGGAGATACACACCAAACAGGATGTGTAAATTATTATATAATAAGTATTGTGCAATAGCAAGAAATTTTCAATTGCACAGTATTGCACAATAGCAAGAAATCTTCAATTGCACAGTATTGCGCAATAGCAAGAAATCTTCAATTGCACAGTATTGCGCAATAGCAAGAAATATCCAATAGCACAATATTGCGCAATAGCAAGAAATTGTCAATTGTACAGTATTGCGCAATAGCAAGAAATATTTAATAGCACAGGATTGTGCAAAAGAAGATACTTCCTATAAATTGCTTATTTCTTGACCAATTTCAATGGGGTTTTATTCTTGATTTCATGGGGTTCTTTAATATGCTGAATCTAACCGTGTATTTAGTTTTTGGATTTTGGGCCCCGTTTTTAAATTGGTCCACATTGAGGTCCAAAGGGTCCAAAATTAAACTTTGTTTGATTTCATCAAAAATTGAATTATTGGGGTTCTTTGATATGCCGAATCTAACTGTGTATTTAGATTCTTAAATTTTGGTTCCGTTTTCAAATTGGTCTACATTAAGGTCCAAAGGGTCCAAAATTAAACTTAGTTTGATTTTAACAAAAATTGAATTCTTAGGGTTCTTTGATATGCTGAATCTAAACATGTATTTTGATTTTTGATTATGGGCCCAGTTTTCAAGTTGGTCCAAATCGGGGTCCAAAATTAAACTTTGTTTGATTTCAACAAAAATTGAATATATGGGGTTCTTTGATATGCTGAATCTAACCATGTATTTAGATTTTTGATTTTTGGGCCCCGTTATCAACTTTGTCCACATTGAGGTCAAAAGGGTCCAAAATTAAACTTTGTTTGATTTCATCAAAAATTGAATTATTGGGGTTCTTTGATATGCCGAATCTAACCGTGTATTTAGATTCTTAATTTTTGGTTCCGTTTTCAAATTGGTCTACATTAAGGTCCAAAGGGTCCAAAATTAAACTTAGTTTGATTTTAACAAAAATTGAATTCTTAGGGTTCTTTGATATGCTGAATCTAAACATGTATTTAGATTTTTGATTATGGGCCCAGTTTTCAAGTTGGTCCAAATCGGGGTCCAAAATTAAACTTTGTTTGATTTCAACAAAAATTGAATATATGGGGTTCTTTGATATGCTGAATCTAACCATGTATTTAGATTTTTGATTTTTGGGCCCCCGTTATCAACTTTGTCCACATTGAGGTCAAAAGGGTCCAAAATTAAACTTTGTTTGATTTCATCAAAAATTGAATTCTTGGGGTTCTTTGATATGCTGAATCTAACCATGTATTTAGATTTTGGATATTGGACCATAATAGGTGAATGTCCAATTTAAAATTTTTAAGTTCTTAGACCACATTCAATCTGTGTTACAAACCTATGCTGTGTCAAATATTTAATCACAATCCAAATCCAAAGCTGTATCAAGCTTGAATGTTGTGTCCATACTTCCCCCAACTGTTCAGGGTTCGACCTCTGCGGTCGTATCAAGCTGCGCCCTGCGGAGCATTTTATTGTGTTTTAGTCTGTTTTTCTCATACTGTTTGCAAAAGGTCTACTATATTTGGTGTATGGAATGATTGTAAGGTGTACATGTCTAGCTGGCAGGTGTCATTTGACCTTGACCTGATTTTCACAGTTCATTGCTCAGTGTAAATTTTTTTGTGTCTTGTTCCATTTTTATTCTTATACTGTTTTTGATAAGTGAACTATATTTGATGTATGGAATGTTTATGAGGTGTTTATGTCTGTCTGCCAAATATCATATGACCTTGACCTGATTTACATGGCTCATTGGTCAATGTTAAGTTTTCCTGCTGAACTTTGTCTTGGTTAAGTCTGTTTCTTAGAAACTATAAGCAATAGGTCAACTATATTTAGTGTATTGAATGATTGTAAGGTGTACATGTATTTCTCTTTCGGTTTATATGACCCTGACCTCATTTTCTTGGATCATGTAAAGTTTATGTGATAGTTGTAGTAAAGCTTTATATTTAGGACTATCAACATAATAGACAGTCTTAATCTTCTTTTCGAATGATTTGCAAAAAGATGTGTTCTTTCTTTGTGACGTCATCAGGCACGGTCGCCTTTTACATGACATCACAATAGGATATTCAGAAGAAAACAAGAAAATTTGATGTCATAATAGAATTTTGACCAATGAAGGACTGTGATCAAACAAACCACATTTTGATTAAATAAAAATAATGACCAGGTCGAGAAGAGGATATATTGGGTAAATATTAGAGAAATCAATTTATATGATTTTATATAGATTCATATATTGAAAAAGAGTTGACATTGTTGTAGGACACACCCATCAATCATTTAAAACTTCATCACAGTGGACGTAGACTTTTGGTGCATAGCAGAGATAACATAATACGCATGGTAGATCTTAGAGTGTAAGTTTTGTATTATTGAATATTGTTCTTTAGCACAAGATATAAAATTAGATTTTCTATGAAGTTTTTCAAGTCATCTATGAAAATTTGAAAGCAGTAGAGTCTCATTTTAGTGTAATTTTTGCCCACACTGGAGCCAGTAAGAGAACTTCAAAATACCTAGGGATAGTAAGGTACCCTAAATCAAAACTGGAGCCTGGGAGAGAACTTCAAAATACCTAGGGATAGTAAGGTACCCTAAATCAAAAGAATAACAGGAAAAACAAAATGGATATTAAAATAGACAATATATGAACAGATAACAGAAAACAAGAGATTGAACTATACAGAAAGGTTAAACATAATGAACACACTTGGTATATTCTTAAATTACAGAAACTATGAAACAAAGTTTGTTGAGGCTATTAATAAGAAATACTGAAGCAAATCAATACAAAGATTTAAGAAATATTACAATTAATTTTTCCCTGGAAGGTTCTGCATTTGAAATCATTATTTCTATCACATTTATGCTTAGAACAAACAACTGGTGAACTTACCTTTCTTTTTTCCACAGTCAACGAGTGATGCAAAAGTATATAGGTCATTTGAACTTCCGTGAACAGATTAGAAGCACAATTACCCCCTGTGGATCGTTTGTGTTCTCTGGGAGTGAGGATAATTTGGTTTATGCTTGGCATACAGAAACAGGTATAACAAAGTAATATTGAGACTTTATGAGTGAAAAAAAAAATCACAGTATTAATGTTTTGTTTATAAAAGCATAGAAAACTTTTAAAAGCAGATTTTATTTATGTACTTTTGATTAGTTGAATTTGAAATTTTGTCATTTAAAACGCTTACTGAATGATTAAAAATTTCAGAACAAATACTGTAAACCAACTTATTTTTGCGGATACTTTATTTCGCGTTTATCCCTTTCTAGTCCACTTCGCGGCAATTTAATTTCGCGATTTTCTAATTTATTTGATGTAGTTAAATAAGGAAAGATCCAAGTTTTACATAATCTCGACGATTTATATTCGCGTTATTTTTCTACTCGTGAAAATTAGTTGGTTTACAGTATTCACAAATTAAAAATTTTGAGGATGAAGTTGTTACTTTTCACAGTAAATTCAGCAATGTGTTTATTCCTCATTCAAAAATATTTTGTATACCATTAAGAAAAAAGTATATTTTCAGTTTCAGAAAGAACAGAAAACAATTTAAGAACATGTATATGTTAAAAACCATACAAACTTTTGATATAATCATTTCTTTGTTATCTAATTACAGGTGATCAAGTGGTGATGTACACTGACCTGAATTACAGAAACCCTGTAACAGATGTAGATTATCATCCTCGAGATCACATGATTGCCATGTGTTCAGTAGGGGAAAACCAACCTATCATTATTTATAACTATGATCCACACAGTAAGTAGTCATTCTTAAAGAGGTTACTTTAGAATATGAGTTACTTTCCCCTGGCTGTAGATTATCATTATGGTAATTATCTGTATGTAGGGTCACTTGTTGTAAAAGGAAAGAGTTACTTCCCATTGGGTACTTAATAACAGAGTAAAACAGTAATGTAAGGCATGTGTTTCGGGGACTTTCAGCAACTTTTTATCTTCCATGTATGCAAAATACTGAATTTGAAGTTATTTTTTTGGAATCAATTTTACAGTAGTCTTTGTCATCTATGAAAAATATAGTCATTTATTTTCAAAAAAATGCTGTAGATTCAGAAATTAAAGTGGTATTTTAAATTAATGCCAGGATGAATACCTCAATAATTTAACATTCTATTCAGTTTATTTATCTTGTATTATTGTCAGCCATAAAATCATTCACCATAATAACTGCATACATTTACAAATTCTTAACAAATAGTAATTTCTAGCAATTCAAGATAATTGTCAAAAACTATTATTACACCTATTCTTGAAAGGCAATTCACAGTGTGACATAATCTATAGGAAATATTATCTATGATCTGTTTACTGGTTGTATTTATAGTTTATAAGTATACTGTAAACAAATTTCTCTTTTTTTATACATTCTCATTTAACTTTTAACTAGAAATTCATAAAGGACAAAAGAAAGATTCTTATTCAAACCTATTACTGTGGGTACTTGAAAATCAATTGGTCATTTGTCTTGGATTGTAAAATATTTTTTAGAAAAAGACCTAAACAAAATTATTTAACAAACTTTAAATATTTGAAGACAGAAGATAAAAAAAATGAAGATAATTACTTGACATGAAAAACACAAGCTTGGTAGTCTTTTGGTCAGAAATATTTAATATCTATATAAAATAAAAATGATGGATAAAATCTAACCAAACTGTTCATGATGTAACAAAGTAACTGTTTAGGAAAGTTTAGAATGTACTGTGGATTCATTTACTTTCATGGATACCAATTTATGTGGATTGAGGAAATTTGTATTTTTGTAGATATTAGATTTCATGGTTTTGTCAAAGTCCGCATACAAACCTTAAAAACAATATTTACTTCGTGGAACATTTAAATTCGTGGTTAAGCTATACCCATGAAATCGACAAATAATTATGAATCCACAGTACTATATGTCAGTATGTATGTACATTGAGTAAGAGTTAAATAAGCATCTGACAAATGTATGTGTAACTGAGCAATGTCTATGAATTTCAGTTGCCCAGATGGAAGCAGGCTTATCTCCGAGACATATATCCCCTGAACCTATTAGAGAACATGAGGAAACTATTATGCCTGGGTAAATATATTTATATGTAAAATATTAAACATCATAATATTAGTAGAAGAGCATAAAATTAGCTATGTATTCTCCAATATAGTGATATCCCAAGGAAATGGCCATGTTAAACATTGTACCCCCACCCCAGTATTCATGTTTTTTTCTTTTGTACGAGTTGCCGTACAATAAAAAAGGTTATTATACAAGTATTTTAAAACATCATTCCTTTTATAACAATAATATATAGGTTTCGATGCATTTCAATTTCTTGAAAATATCCAGACTTTATTCATTACAATTGTAGATTTAAAAGGCATCATTTATATTTTATAGTTCTCCTAGAAAAGAGGAATTAACAACAAATCCTTCATCCATGATATTCAACAAGGAAGAATTCAATGCCCATACTGCAGGAAGATATGAAAAAGTATTAAGGAAACTTCATAGTGCTACAGTAAGTTTTTATTTTTTCTCTTTGCAAAAGTTGTAGGATGATAGACTTGCTAAGTGAGCATTTGCATATATCTAAATAATTACATTACAGTTATGTTTCATTAGATGCCATAATTTTGATTGGCTGACTTCAATCGTGAGGCATTCCAATATCATATTGTATTTCCATATAAAATACAACAGCTATCATGACTGCACAGGCTATTTGTGACAATGCATAGAAAAACAAACAAAAAAATTCATATAACTCTTAATGTAATGGTTATAGCATAAAATTTAATTATAAGAATTATCCTATCTGGCCTCTGGGCTACCTACAATTTGTATGGAAGTAGCTGATAGTAAGAAGGTGTCAGACAGTCATTGTCTAAAGGTATTAATTTTAATTTAGTTTTATGAATTTGACTTCCCCTACTTCTGGAATTGATCATACCAGAATTGGTTTGGGTCAGTTTCTTGAACTAGGTTGCTTTTTCATTAATTAGCTATGGTGAATCAACACTGCTTTTTATACAGATTATAAGTCAGTCTGTCTGTGTAACATAACCTTGATCTCATTATCATACTCTGCAGTTTAGGTCAAAAGCTTTAAGATTTTTTTTTTTAGGATCAATTTCTAAAAAAATGTATGGGAAAGGTCCACCTTATTTGGTATGTGAATTTACTTTTGTAAGCTGTTGATAAAAATGGACATTCCAGTAACAAGACAATTAGATTCAAACAATTGATAGATACCAGATAAGTTGATGCTGTAAAACAAGTTTTCTTTTTATAGACCCAAATGGCAGCCACACCATCCTTGGACCTCCCAGGAATGACACCAGCAACTACCTCGCCACAACTTGCACATACAGGATTCAGATCATTAGACCCTAATATGACACCAAGAACTATGGTAGGTTTATTTGATCTTTGGACCCTACAATTACATAAAGACATTTGGTATTCTTTTTATATCATTAGACCTAACAATTGCACCAAGAACTATGGTAGGCTCAACCATTACACGCAAGAACCATGACATAAATAATAGACCTAGAATTTAAAAGAAGAACTTTGGTAGCTTTGTTACTCAATATACCCAACAATTACACCAAGAACTCTTGGAGATTTTTTTATAGATGTTTGGTAAGAAGTACTTTTACAAGACCATTGATATTTGGTATTTTGTGACATTAGTTAGTTTCAAGATAATTTTAGGCTAGACCTTCTTATCATGCTTCAGTAATTGGACATTTTTCATTGTTAGAATGTTTATTTTCTAGGAATAATTTTGAAGTTCTTTCAAAAGAATATTTATATTCTCAATTTTATCTTTCTAACATAAATATATTTATTATACTTCATGTCAAAATGCCAGATTTTGATTGGGTAATACGAGGGAGACAATTTACTCTATTGTATTGTAAATACTCTATTACCCTTCACGGAGACGCTTGATCAATTGTGCGCTTTATTAAATACGACTCTTATCCTATGGCAAATACTCTATTACCCTTCACGGAGACGCTTGATCAAGTGTCTGCTTTATTAAATACGGATGGTTGTTATGTACAAGACGTCATAGTTTATTACTTTGAATTTGAAATTTAATCAACAGTAATAACAGAACATTCAGTATAGTAAATCAAATAACACATATCTGACAGGGTGATAGAGCAGATTGTTACCCCTCGAAAAGACATTGTCAACCTTGGCTTCGCCTTAGTTGACAATGTTTTCTCGCGGTAACAATCTGCTCTATCACCCTCTCAGCTATGTGTTATTTATATAATATTTGATTTGCCTAGGGCCATAGGAAATTTTAGGGGGATCGACTTGTATTGAGTTAAAGCATCATTTCAGTTGAATTGCTTTTGATAACATAATCCTTATTTTGACCGTTGTGTTCATGGGCATATGTATCATATTGATACATCTAGTTCTCTGTATATGTATATGATGTATGTATGACTTGACTTGTTCATAACATTATGTTAAGCCATGAAAACTTTAAAGTTTATTTTCTATTATTAGATGGCATCCCCAGCTACTTTCTCACCTCATTCAACAAAGACCATGAGTGGTATAATGCAGCAACAACAGTTTAGATCACAGAATATGTACATGAAAACTGGGGATTCTGACTGGAGGCCAGGATTTACTGACGGTATCTATTCACTTAATAAAGAAAAAGTATCACTTTGAAAATTTCATGATCTACAACAGCAATGATTATGAATATTGTACATTTTAAAGGTTTTGTCAACCTTCCCCCTTCTTTTTCATTAAATTTGAAGAAAAACATCAAAAAGAGCTTGATACAAAAAATCTGTAATTGGGTATACCTCTTAAAAAATATTGTTTTTTTGAAAGTTTAGCTATTTTCTTTCTAATTAACCGCTCTTTATGAAATGAGATAATATAATGACTTGTGACATCATAATGTCATTAGAAAATCTGCATAAATTTAATTTTTTTCTGTTCTATGTATTTCAAAGTTGTTTACATAATCTTTATATAATATTCCCAAAAAGGACCTGAATACTCTACCTTTTTGCACTGTCAACTTATTATCGGTATTTTAACGGTTTTACTAGTAAATGAGATTTTTTTTAATCCAGTTTAATGATTTTGTGAATGGTACTTTTTTAAGGGGCATTATCTGTCAAATTCATGATCACCGATTTGACTTAAATTCTCATATTTGATTCATAACTTACTAAATTGTAAATCCAAATTACAAAAAGTCCAAAAGAAAAAAATTAACAATGCATGGACTGGTTATAATGTGTAAGCATTTCATGCATATTTTAGACTAGACGCCATCTAATTAACCATCTATACTACCTCCCAGACTGCCTACAGTCATTTGACCTGATATAAACATAAATATAAATAGACTGAGAAGCGCATGGAATAAACTGAGATATAAATAGACTGAGAAGCACGTGGAGTTGTATAATTACAATGTTTCCAGGTCTGTTTGACTTCATGTCATAGATTTAAAAAATGTAAATCATGGTTTTACCTGAATATGATTGATTTCTAGTGGGCTGATTTGGTCAAAGAATTTTTCTTCTTGGTGGTTCCCTTGTTTGACTTTTCAATGTTGACATTATTTTCTATTTTTTAATAACTGAACACGCTTAGAGCATGGGTAACCCATCCACAACTAAAGGTCAAGTTAGGGTTACATGAATATGCCTTCAATGAGGTTGAATTATTGACTTGCAAGTCAAAAAACCATTTGCGATGTTTTCGATCTTATTTTTACCAAATTGAACCAAACTGACTTTTTCAATATTCCCCTTTTAAAACGTTTGCAACAAAAGTAAATCATACTTTAATTTTTTGTCTAAATGGCAGATAATGCCCTTTTAATAGTAATAAGTCGTTAAACACATGTTATTATTTATCCGGTTTATGATTACAGTGGGTAGATATGGTGCCAGAAGTACTAGTCCAACATTTATAGGCAGGCCACCACAACTATCAATGACAGCTGTAAGTATTTATAATTTGACACCACCATTCCTCACATCTTTTCCCTCAAAATATACGCACATGTCGAATAAAAAGTAATAATCCTTTAATAGGTATCTGATAGTCCTGAAAAATCCTCACAGAAAGATCCTTGTATTTTAAAGCATATAATAAAATCAACATGTTATTGTATATTTAACAAAAGCTGATGCATTGAGTGTCAAAAATATAAATGTTAAGAACATTTAATATGTACAGATTTCATATCAACCCGTGAAGTCTAGACTTAAAAATCAATAAACTCGAAAAGTTTACTGAATAATTTATAGAAATGGAACATTTCAAACTTGAAAAAAAAAACATATAAAAAATGTATGCATTTAAAATGTTAATTGTTGAATGAAGTATAAATTCATGGTTGAAGGGAGTGATTCTGTATTATATTACTACTAATGGGGTGTTTAATGTCCTTGACGATCCATGGAGGTCTCACTGGGTCGGTGTATTATATTACAGTAAAACCTGTATAAACTGGCCGGCTATGGGACTATGAAAAAGGGCCAGATTGGACAGTGGGTTGGTTTATTCACATTTCCATTTTGACATGAAGTTATTGACTTGTGAAGTCAGATATTTTGCTAGTAAAAGTTCTGTGTCATTGTTAATTGTGAACTAATTAAAACAAATACCGTAATAATCTATTTATTAAAAGTTATGTCATGATTTGTGTGAAAATATTGTAACATGAACATTACAAGTGTTCCCTGCCTTTTCACCATTTAACTACGCACGATCTTTGTTTTGAATCTTCGTATTCATTGGCTTTAGAAATTTCAGAAATTGGTTGTCCCCCGGATTAAAAAAAAATGTTATCTGAATTTTATTTTGTTTTGCGTATTATCGTATAACAAATCGACCTGGGTAGCATCAGTCTCCTACTCGTCCGTTTCACTTTCAGTTTGAGTTCCCTCATTTCCATCAGAATCCTTGCGTGGTTTGAATTGTTCAATGAGAGTTTCGTTTTACTTCTATTGTTCATTTCCTACGTTGGTATAATAGATTGAAAAGCAAGAATTTTATCAAACGAAATTTCATCATGATCTAAACATTGTCGTACAATGTATGATACCCATAAAAGTGACAACGGAATGTTTTCATCTGGGTTTTCTTCATTATCAGGGTCATTGGTTTCAGGTTTCACAACAGAGAACCCAGCATTTTGAAAACACGTTGTAAATTTCTTACTCTGCGATTTGAAAAAAATTATCAAAGTTACAACGTAAGTTCTATCTGAGATATATTCGGCATTTCTTTTAGTTTATTATAATTAAAACTTAAAAGCGTTTCAATAATAAAGCTCACTACTCTAAGTTCACAGTTTAACACCTTGCTAATTGATTATCCTGAAAAACCAACTTGTATAAACAATTATGTTTTGATTGCATATCGATCAATACTGTTATCATGCTAAATTAATTAAACAAACCGGTTTTGACAGGTAATAATTAATGTAATTAAGAGTATTGGGACTGCATAATTAGACCGGAATTAGGAATACACAGATTCCGGTTTACAGGGGGGTATTTTTAAAAAGACTTTGAAGGAGATAAATGAGACTTCAATACCAGCCAGAATGGACAGGAAACTGGTTTATTCAGGGTCCAGTTTACCCAGGTTTGACTGTACTACTATAGGGGTTGTTTAATGACCTTGACGATCCATGGAGGTCTCTCTGGGTCGGTGTTTTATATTACTACTATAGGGGGTGTTTAATGACCTTGATGATCCATGGAGGTCTCGCTGGGTCGGTGTATTATATTACTACTATAGGGGGTGTTTAATGACCTTGATGATCCATGGAGGTCTCGCTGGGTCGGTGTATTATATTACTACTATATTGGGTATTTAATGACCTTGACTATCAATGGAGGTCTCACACAGTCAGTGTATAATATTTGATATGGTTGACTAGGTCTCAGACAGTCAGTGTATAATATTTGATATGGTTGACTAGGTCTCTAGGTGTATAATATTTGATATGGTTGACTAGGTCTGAGACAGTGTATAATATTTGATATGGTTGCCTAGGTCTCACACAGTCAGTGTATAATATTTGATATGGTTGACTAGGTCTCTAGGTGTATAATATTTGATATGGTTGACTAGGTCTCACACAGTCAGTGTATAATATTTGATATGATTGACTAGGTCTCTAGGTGTATAATATTTGATATTGTTGACTAGGTCTCTAGGTGTATAATATTTGATATGGTTGACTAGGTCTCACACAGTCAGTGTATAATATTTGATATGATTGACCTACAGTTTTTCGATTTTTTTAGTCCATTGTCTCTCCATTTCACATTCTTACAATGAGGATTGATAAAAAAATTTGGGGGTATTGTTTTCCTGTTTTTCTTTTTTTAGTGAAACTGAAACTAGCTGGAAACACAGTTGAACCTCGTTGTGTCAAAAACTCGGATGAGTCGAAGTAATTTCTCGGTCCCGGTAAAATTCCCCTTTGATCAATGCCTAATAACTCTTTGATGAGTTGAACTCGGTTCATTCGAATACTCGTTTAAGTCGAGTAAATTTAAAAGTCTCGTCCATGTAAAATTAATGTAAATTGATCCCGATATTTGAAGTTCGAAAGTAAGAATTTTTGAAAGATGCAGACCTAATGATAAAAATCAAATTGGATGTATTTCTTATGTAATCTAATCATTTTCAAAAGAGATTAAAGCTGAGTAAACATACTTGTTTGTATAATAAAGTGATTTCACAGGGCCTAATCTAGGATTTTGAAGAGGGAGAAGTGACTTCTCCTTCCAAGAGAGAGAAGGGAGAAGTGGTCAATTTCTTGGAGAAGTGAGATTCCATTACCGTTTCGGTTGCATCGTGTTTTCGTGCTTATCACTAAGGAAATTGTTTTATATTCAATAAAAGATATACTTGCAGTTTTTTCATATGTTATTGTACACAATGTATATATAGAAAGTTCTTAATAAAAAGGTTTAGACAATATATAGTTGTTATTTATTTATTTATTGATACCATTGTGTTCTATAAAATAAAATTTGTTGATTGGGACATGAGGGAGTAGCCTAGTAATATTATCATGATTATGATGCATTAAATTCATGTGCATCTGCCTCAATTTATTTTTAAAATTCCAGAAAAAATATAACTCCCAGTTTTCCTGTTGAATTGCACATGACTGGGAATTTAATTTATATCACCACTTGTCATTATTTTGTAAAACATTATTGAATGTCCAGGACATTATGTTAGTTGTAAATTGAGATTATCGTTAAAGATTGTAAGTCTATAAATGAAAATATTTTTCAATCGCATATTAATTATCCGACAAAGAGCTAATTACTATCATTTTTTAAAAATATCATCCATATCAACGAAATGGTCGTGAGAAACAATCCACTGCTGATCATAACCTGGTCGAGTGTCGTACGTTTGCCATCACATTATCCATCAGCAGTCTTTCTACCTTTTATATTTCAATTTTTATTCAATCAATATAATAAATCTACCGTTAATTCCAACCTTTTACCTACCGAATAGTAAAATTGATCGATTCGTGTAAGTTGTAAAAATAAAACAAATCAGCTGAGTGATTACGCAACATCCTCAGATGAAAATTATCGTAATATGATAACTTAAACAGACGGTCAGTTTTCCGTTTGAACAGTTTTGAAAGTTATATCCGAGGATGTTCAAAGTCGTTGTTGTATTTATTTAATTTGACCGTTGACAGTATTAGTCCTGGGTCGTTTCGAAAATCTCGAGTTTCCTTGTCAGCCGCCATTTTTTTTACCTGTGAGACTTGTCAATCACAAGTTGTCTCCCTTTTACCGATTTTGATAGCGATTTGACTTCGCTATGAAGTCAGTCGGCCGGCGAGATTTAGCGATTTTCAAAATTCTTTGGCGACTTAAATCGTCATTTCGCCGGCAAGATTATGGCCTGATTTCATAATTTATAGTGACTGACCTTTGTAAATATTTGTGTATACTATTGATTTTATTTGTGCATGATTTGTATCTGTACTTGTGTGTTTAGTTATTATGAAGGACCAAAAAATATGGAGATTGATAAAGTGCCATACCGAAAAAAGGCACACTGTTCAAAGTATCTAGTTTACACAAATCTCATACTGTGACGACACACTCTACCTCGGATGAGTTGAACCTCGGATAAGTCGTATGCTTTGGTCGTGTCCCTTCGACTGCCACATAACATGGTTTCGACTGTATATACATATGTTCATCTTGGACTTTTTTGTATAATCTTTTGGTCAATAATAGTGTGGACCTCTAATGATTGGCCTATTTAGTTTTTTCTGTTATGTAAAATACTAAAAGGTTTTTAAACAATCTGAAAAGATTTCTCAGAAGGGAAAACAACATGTAATTGAAACTTGGGTTTTTTAATTCATAAGCTACAGATGTCATGGAACAGACCAATACTTAATAATTGCTGTTTTAAAGACTATAAAATCTAAAAATATTAGTACAATACAAATATTAGTATGTGTTTACAAGGTATTCAGGCTCTCAAAAGTTAAGGTTTTCTTTGATAAGATTTACACAGAATAAATGAGACTGCATTGTTTGCTATAGCGGGTTTCTAGTAAAAAAAAATGTGTATCTGATAGTTTATCAAAAAGTAAATGATTGTTTGTTGAAAATGCATTACATAAAACTTTTAAAATGAGTTGTAAGAATGTTCTCCTTGAAGCGTTTTCTAAAAATTAACACATGAATTGTGACATAAGGGAAATACCCAGAGATTTGTTTAATGATTTCTTGAGAATTGTGTCTCGTTATAATTACATGAAAGTTGATACATCATTAGTTAAAGTAAGTACAAATGTAATGAGAAATAAAATTACTTTTTATCACCTGCAATGGACTTATTAAGATGAATATTTAGAAATTAGTTTAAGAAGCTTTTTTTCAAATGATAGATCAAACAGAAATGTTTATTCATGCTTAAATTTATAGGCTTATTAAAATACATCTGGAATTTATTCCCTAGGGATGTGATGCACACATTGGTTTTTTTTCACTTTGTAATGTACTTATTGTTAAATAATTACATAATGTAGCAGTTTAATACGATTCTATAATTTTCATTGGTATTCCAGTAGTTAAATTTTATTTCTGTATAAAATGCAACATATATAACTGCACATGCTATCTGCCACAACATCAAAACAATGCACAGAAAAACAAACAAAAGGCTTGATTTAACTCATAATATCATGGATGTAGCAGAAAAATGTAGTTATATGAATTGAATACCTCTTTTTGTAATTTTACAGGGTTGCGAAAGCTTTGGAACATGCACACATTTTTAGTATGAAGCGTGGAAAACAAAATGCACTTCGGTCAACGCTTTTACACCCCAAATAAAATTACAAGAAGAAGCATTCAATAGTTAAATATATTTTTCAAATATTGGTTATTAAATGTTTTAATTATTTTAATGTAATTTTTAATACTGCTTAGATTATGTATGATAATTGCTCGTATGTGATAACCCTAATGTGTGAATGAAAGTTTTTTTGTCATTGTAGGGACCAGGGAAAGCTCAGTTCAGTTTCCAGGCTCCTGCTGGTAAAGCAGTACCAAGTTACAAACAGGTAATTGTAATCAGAGTAATTTGTAAAAAAAATATTTTGTTTCATTAAGATTTCTAAATGTCTAGTATGTCGTGTCTTATTTAAGTAACTACATTAAATGACTTGTAAAGAAATTGGAAAGTAATATCATCCCTTGTCCAGTACAAACATACTGCTGCTACACACAACAAACATGTGAAATATCACAGGATGATATACTATATATTGCTGCTACACACAACAAACATGTGAAATATCACGGGATGATATACTATATATTGCTGCTACACACAACAAACATGTGAAATATCACAGGATGCTATACTATATATTGCTGCTACACACAACAAATGTGAAATATCACGGGATGATATACTATATATTGCTGCTACACACAACAAATGTGAAATATCACGGGATGATATACTATATATTGCTACTACACACAACAAATATGTGAAATATCACAGGATGATATACTATATATTGCTGCTACACACAACAAACATGTGAAATGTCACAGGATGCTATACTATATATTGCTGCTACACACAACAAACATGTGAAATATCACAGGATGATATACTATATATTGCTGCTACACACAACAAATGTGAAATATCACAGGATGATATACTATATATTGCTGCTACACACAACAAACGTGAAATATCACGGGATGATATACTATATATTGCTGCTACACACAACAAACATGTGAAATATCACAGGATGCTATACTATATATTGCTGCTACACACAACAAACATGTGAAATATCACAGGATGCTATACTATATATTGCTGCTACACACAACAAATGTGAGATGATATACTATATATTGCTGCTACACACAACAAATGTGAAATATCACAGGATGATATACTATATATTGCTGCTACACACAACAAACATGTGAAATATCACAGGATGCTATACTATATATTGCTGCTACACACAACAAACATGTGAAATATCACAGGATGATATACTATATATTGCTGCTACACACAACAAATGTGAAATATCACAGGATGATATACTATATATTGCTGCTACACACAACAAATGTGAAATATCACAGGATGATATACTATATATTGCTGCTTCACACAACAAACATGTGAAATATCACAGGATGATATACTATATATTGCTGCTACACACAACAAATGTGAAATATCACAGGATGATATACTATATATTGCTGCTACACACAACAAATGTGAAATATCACAGGATGATATACTATATATTGCTGCTACACACAACAAACGTGAAATATCACAAGATGCTATACTATATATTGCTGCTACACACAACCAACATGTGAAATATCACAAGATGCTATACTATATATTGCTGCTACACACAACCAACATGTGAAATATCACAGGATGATATACTATATATTGCTGCTACACACAACAAACGTGAAATATCACAGGATGATATACTATATATTGACAAATTGAAATTCAGTTGAATAAATCTAGGTGAGCTGTAAAGTATTTTGTAGGTAGTATAAGTAGAAAAATAATGTGAATATATTAAACTTTAATCATGTCTTGAATAAAAATGTCCACTAAGATAGAAAATTGTGAAAAAAATTGTGCTGAAATGCTCAACTGTCTCGCATGAAAACAGTATCCATGAAAAAAAGATTTGTTTTTACAGTACTCAAAGAAGAAATGAATACTGATGATTGTTTGCCTCTACTTCAGATAAAGTTTGTCTAATTTTGGTCATCAGTTCTGATTAATATTTTGTATTTCACTAGGTTATTGCTTTGTATAACTACCGTGCCCAAAGATCAGACGAGCTGACCATATTCAAAGGAGATGTTATTTCTATTTTGTACAAAGATAGTGATAGTTGGTGGATGGGAGAACTGCCTGATGGACAACAAGGCTACTTCCCATCAAATTATGTAGCAGAAGAGGGTAATTCACATCTATAAAGTAACGAATGATAATGCTGTAGTCAGACATTATTGCATGTATTTGTTATACCTATTGGTGATCAACAAACATAAGGTCATTATCACAGCAGATGTTGATAAACTGAAATTTGAGCAAAATTAGGTTTCTAGATGTTATCTTTTAAACCAAATGTCCAACTATTACACCAATCTTGGTTTGATAATTTCCCATGATATGAGGAAATACTCTTCTGATTTGGAGATAAATAGGTTAACTGTCAAAGTCAAAGCAGCTGTTTATAGACTAAATCAAAATTTGGGTTTTGAAATTAATAATGTCCAACTGGTAGGCAGAATTTGTTTGATAATGCCCATTGAGATTAGGTAAAACCCTAATAATATTTGGGTCAAGGGTCAATGGAACATCAGCTATTGATAGACAAAGATCTGGACATAATTATGGTGTCCAGATGTTACCCTTTAAACCATTTCACAAGTTTTACCATAAATATTGATAATGCCCTGTGGAATGAAGAAGACCTCTATCAAATATCAAAGGTCACAGCAGTAATTGTTCTGAAATGGGGCAAAATTAGATTTCCACGTTATATCATTTGAACCATACGTCCACATTCACCAAATTTAGCTTGAATTTGGCCTATGGAAAGAACAAGACCCTTGTAGATTTTTTGGGCTATTAGGTAAATGGTCACTTTACCTATTTTCCAACATTTAAAATAAATTACCAGCAGATTTTACACAGTCTTCATCACCAAGAATCACAAAAATAGTACTTGAATAAAAAGTTTGTTTATTCTACTACAAATATAGAAAGATAGCATCTGAGCTTATGCACCCATGATGCTTCTGGAATTTTTTATATAGTAACACAGAAGGTTGAAATTACATCATGCTGTGCTAAATACATGAAGAACGTATGGGAATTTCTATTTACATAATGGATAAGAAGAGACGTATTGATATATTTAAATTTTAACTGATATTTCATAGTAAAATCTGTAGAAATTATCAGTCCATGAGACAGAATAAAATCTATGATAAACTGAGTTTGAAAAGTTCCTATCTGCACTAGTAATGCTAGAAATAAATTTTGAAATGACCTATAGTTAAGATGTTTGATACAATAAACTATGTCAAGTATGATTAAATAGTTAATTTTATTATACCCCACGCAACGAGTCGCGGAGGGTATAATGTTTTTGACCCGTCTGTCCGTCTGTCTGTCTGTCCGTCCGTCCGTCCGTCAGTCCGTCAGTCCTGTTTCTTGTCATCGCAACTCCTCTCAAACCAGGAAATTACGATTCAATTCTTTTTCTAGGAGTTACGCCCCTTTGAACTTATTTACTTTAATGTACTACTGCAACAGTTTGTCATCGCAACTCCTCTCAAACGACACAACAGAATTTCATGAAACCTTTTCAGATAATAAGGACATACTACGTAGATGTGCATATTGACAGGAAATTATGATTCAATTTTTTTTTTTGATACAATTTTTTTTTCTTACACTTATTTTATTTCTCCAATGACAATGTGGGGAGGTGGGGTATGTGAGCGCGCTCACTAAGGTTCTTTCATTTTACAGGTGCTGATATTGATGCTAAGATGGGACTTGTACAAGATAGTGACAGTGATGAAGAAGATGATAAAAAGGTACGCTGTTTTTAGAGAAATATACTTCCTTGGTGAGGTATTGTGAATGATATGAAAGATTAGTTTAGATGGACCAAAAACAGTGAAAACTGACGTGTGTATTCCACATATAAGGTATTTGGCTGTAGGGTCATAAAGCGTTGAGCCTCATCCCCATGTATGATGGTCTTTAAACCATACGGTTGCCTATAATTGCTTACATCCACTTCATTTGAACTTTGGTGGATAGTTGTCTAATTGGGAAGCATACCACATCTCCTTTTTGTCGAGCCTTCCAGGGCGGCGTCCACAAATATTCACTCTGTGGTTAAAGTTTTTTAAATTTTAATAACTTTCTTAAACTATCCTGGATTTCTACCAAACTTGGACAGAAGCTTGTTTATGATCATAAGATAGTATCCAAAAGTAAATTTTGTAAAAAAAAAATTCCATTTTTTCCGTATTTTACTTATAAATGGACTTAGTTTTTCTGCCAGGAAACATTACATTCACTCTGTGGTTAAAGTTTTTAAAATTTTAACAACTTTCTTAAACTATCTTGGATTTGTACCAAACTTGGACAAAAGCTTGTTTATGATTAAAAGCTAGTATCTAGAAGGAAATTTTGTTAAAATTTTGTTCCATTTTTTCCTTATTTTACTTATAAATGGACTTAGTTTTTCTTCCAGTTAACATTACATACAGTCTGCAGTTTAAGTTTTTAAAACATTTATTAGATTCATAAACTATCCTGGATATTTACCAAACTTGGACAGAAGCTACTTACAATCAAAAGATAGTATAGAGAGGAATATTTTTATTAATTTTTTTCCTCATTTTTGTTGAGCCTGCGATTAACAGCAAATGTAGGCGAGACACTGGGTTCCGTGGAACCCTTACAAATTTTTTATATTAAGAGCTAATTTTTTATTTTTGTGCTTGCAAAAGTGTGTTCCAGGCAAACATCCAAATTTTTTTGTACTTTTTTTTTATAAAGAATTAAAAGGTAGATTTGTCAGTTGTAAACTTCATAATGACACAAAAAGTTTATAGACATGCTTTTATCTGAAAGAGTTTGCAACAAAATAGTTTTTAGGTTGTTTTGACCAAATACTGAAAAACTAGCATGTAAAGTAGTTGGTCATGATCTATATATTGAAGGAAAATATATTATAGAATAAATTTTTCAATAGAGGAATCTGCTGCAATGTTCATGCAATTCCAAAAGCTTTTTTGTCAGTGGTTATATGTTTGATGTCGTTTTTGCAATTTTTTTATTAAAGGTGACTGCAGTCAGAACAAAAACTGGAGAGTTGAAGTTTATTTCTGCCACAGAAGAATCTGAAGATGAGCTTCTGAGTTCAAGAAAAAGGTAGGTTAGAAAAAGTACAAAAACATATATGCTGTAAGAAAATGCAGGTGTATACATTAAAAGTTACTGTTTCCTGAACACAAATAACATATTTCTGTTGAACTCTTCGAAAAGTAGACCATTTGGTTTTTCTAGAGTGTTATTTTCACCACTGTTGATAATAATTTTCGGAAGAGAAACAATGTATACATGCTAAAGCATCTTTTTTATAGGAGGTTTTGATTATCTATCTATATCAAGGATCCGGAAATTTTCCCAAGTCATTTCGGTCATTTTTTTTTGTGATGTAATAATATTGTGATGCACAATAATGCATTTTTCTGAGGGTGACAAGTCTTGCACATGGACAAGTAAAGTCCTTTTTTGTGAAGTATTGGGTCAAACAAGTGTAACTGTACCCTGATCTAATAGTAACAGTGATGTCTCTGAGTTAGAAACTACACGAGGAGACGTTTTGTTGTTGTGTATTGCATCACTGAGGTCGTATGCATAACCCTTTAAATTTGCATAAATTAAAAGAGGAATAATTACGGCATGTTTCATCATTTTGAAATAAAGTTATGTAAACCAATTAATAAACTGTGTTGAGTTTCTTATTGCATGTACAAGATATTGTTTGTATTGTTCAAATTGCTGCTGTTTGGATGAGTGTAAGTGATTACCTAATACACAACAAGATAATGTGTATTCACCTGGTTTACGATAAGAGGATCAAAAAGGGGAAACTATGATTCAACTTTTCTTTGAATAAATAACTCAAGTCTGGTATAGTGATAACAATTGAATTTAATAATAAAATTCATGATTTTAAATAAATAAATAATTTATCTGAACAGAAGTTTGTACACAATTAGAACAGTTCAATGAAAAACAATTGCATTGTAATACAGTCCAGAGAGAATGTATGGCTTCACTTGGGTAAAAATCGGAAGTTTAGCCAGGAAAACAAAAGAAAGGATAACGCCCATTACATTCTGTGAGTAAGATGGTTTCAAAAAATCGGAAGTGCAAAAAAAACAAAAAGAAATCGAGATTGTTCATTCGCTGAGTATATTTCTTAAATAGGCTGTATGGCTTCAAATCTAAATTACGTTATTTAGTTTTAATTCCTTTTTTAATCATTTTTTTTTAATTCTGCATTCCTATAAATTATACGCTTTACCACTTTTGTAAATCTATTAATTAAATTTATCTGCCATTTCCTACCGAAAAGTTAACAGTAAAATCGATCTTTCAAATAAGATCATCAATTAACCCATGTTGATCCCCATTTTCCATGCACAAACTCAGTAAACATAAATCTATATTTAACAAACGTTGACCAAATCAGCTGCTCGATTATAAATGGATTATATGTTTTATTTGGATAAAAATGGACAGATTCTCGAGTCAACAGTGTTATTTGTCTTCTTTAATGAATAAAATAATATCTTTTTGGGAAAATCTAGGTCAGAATGGTTAAAACGTTAAATTTGATGCACAGCAAGTCGCCATATTGTTTTTATTGCTTAACAGGTGTTTACAGGTGAGATTTGTGTACATGGCCTTTATGGCTTTAATCAAGACAATAACGACACCCAAGCCGAATTCAAACTTCCTGGACATTGATTACTATCCTCAAGTGGTGATAATTACTATGTAAACAAACCTAGTGGCTTGAACCCAGACTTACCCCACGCTGTGACTCGACAGAGTCCTGTACATTGTTTTCACTTACATTATAGAATAAACAACAGACTAATGATGAATATTATTAAATCACTAACACAAATCATTAAAATTTTTATTTTGTCTCAAACAAATCTATTTTTCTTGATGACCTGAAAACAAAAATAAGTTCAAAATGGCGACCGATAAAACCCTGATCTCAATGAAATGACCGAAATTATTTCTGTAAAAAAAAAAAAAAAGACCTAAATCCCAATAAATCATTTCGGTCTTTTCAGTTTCCAAATCGGTCATGTCTGGCATATATGACCGTTTCCGGACCCTTGATCTATATATATATATATTCATAGATTATCGATGGTTTTTCAAACGGGAGGGTGTTTCTCAGCTACAATCTCATGAAAGGGCAACACCCCTGAGATGAGATGTGGCCCTGTTTATTGCTTTTTTGCTTATGACGTCATTGATGTTTACATTGGCAATGGCAAGTGTACCCTTAGTTTCTGATGATAATTTTCTATCTCAAGCGAGTAGCATAATATGAAAAATTATCACAAAAAAAGATCAAAGGAAAAGTACACTAAATAGCGATCAATAAATATGTATATATACTGCTATAAAGGTTTTTAAGAAAACTATATAACAATACATGTGAAATAGATGTTTATAAGTAGACCTTGGAAATGTTGTCACATGTAGGGTGGTTTCATTTATTTTCGTGGTTGCCAATTTTCATCGATTGAGGAAAAATTGTATTTATGTGGTTTTGCCAAAGTCTGCATACAAGCCTTTATGGAATTTATAGTTTGTTAGACATTAAAAGTCATGGTTTACATAAACCCACGAATTCGAATCAAACTGTTCAACTGGTCAGAAATTTTAACAACCTGCTGTAGAAAACTATGATACTATGAAATCCACAATGTTATTGGATAACAGACATTTGTTTCATATATTTTGAGTATTCAGTGTAAAGTATTTTTATCTTAGTACCAGTACTATAAAGAGACAGTAAGTATTGTTAAACTATCGCTCAGCAAAGTCAGAGTGAAAAGGGAGTCAGCCATGTCACAATGAAAAGGTAGGAAAGTTGCACTGGGTTTGGCAGTCGGGTGCTTGAAATATTTTTATTGTTTTCACTGAGGATTATTGGAGAATCACGCTTTGATTAACAATGTCAAAATTAAACAAAATTTCAGTCTTATATATGATCTTGATCATTAAACACCACACTAGGAAGTAGCAGGGATATATAGGTTTTGCTCAATACATATGTCAGTCAGTCATCTTGACCACATTTCATGGATCAGTGATTAATGTTAAGTTTTTGTCTCGCCTTGACGGAGTCAAAAAGCGAGACATAGGTATGCTGTTTGCGGCGGCGGCGTTAACACTATATTAGTTTGTGATTAGGTCTAGTTCATGGTGAACCACTAGTGGTAGGTCAATAATATTTGGTGTGCATTTGTATTAGCATTGGCACATCCCATTACCATGGAGATTATTTGGTCCCGCCCCCTCAGTCAAGGTCTATTGACTTTGAAACTTTTCATACTTTACATGTATTAGTTTGTGATTAGGTCAATTTATGGGGAGCCACTAGTGGTAGGTCAATGATGTTTGGTATGCAGTTGTATAAGCATTGGCATATCTCATTTCCATGGAGATTATTTGGCTCCGCTCCCTTAGTCATGGTCTATAGACTTTGAAAATTTTGCTAAGTTAACATGTATTAGTTTGTGATTAGGTCAGTTCAAGGGGAACCATTAATGGTAGGCCAATGTTAATTGGTGTTCAGTTGTATAAGCATTAGCACATCTCATTTCCATGGAGAATATTTGGCCCCGCCCCCTAAGTCATGGTCTATTTACTTTGAAACTTTTGCTTAGTTTACATGTATTAGTTTGTGATTAGATCAGTTTAAGATGAACTGCTAATGTTAAGTCAATGATATTTGGTATGCAAATTTATTGGCATTTGCAAGTATCGTTTCCATAGAGATTATATAGCCCCACCCCTGATCATGGTTCATTGACTTTGAAACTTTTACATAGTTTACAAGTTAATGTTTGTGTTTAGGTTTGTTTAAAGGGAATGACTTATAATCAGTCAATGGTATTTGGTATGCAGTTGTATTAGCATTGGCACATCTCATTCCATGGAGATTGTTTAGCCATGTACCTTCAGTCATGGTTCATCTACTTTGAATATTTGCATAACTTACATGTTAAAGTATTTCTATTTTAATTTCAACATTTGCATTATCAAAATTACAAGACATATCTCTGTGATAACAGTTTATTATTCTACCAAGTTCCACTGTTTTTGCAGTCTGGTGGTTGAAACTCTTTGTTTATGGTTTTCGCTAAGGATTATTGGATATTCACTATATGATTTACAATGTTGAAAAATTGAGATTTAGGCGTGCTTTTGCAAAGGCGTCAACAATGTATTAGTTTGTGATTAGGTCAGTTTATGGGTAACCATTAGTGTTGGGTCAATCATAATTGGTATACAGTTGTATAAGCATTGGCACATTTTATTTCCATGGAGATTATTTGGCCCAGCCCCCTCAGTCATGGTCTATTGACGTTGAAACTTTGCTTAGTTTACATGCATTAGTTTGTGATTAGGTCAGTTTATGGGAACCATGAGTGGTAGGTCAATGATATTTGGTATGCAGTTGTATAAGCATGGGCACATCTCATTTTCATGGAGATTATTTTGCCCTGCCTCCTCAGTCATGGTCTATTGACATTGAAACTTTTGCTGAGTTGACTTGTCTTGTTTGTGATTAGGTCAGTTTAAGGGAAACCAATAGTGGTAGGTCAGTGGTATTTGGTATGTAGATGCATTAGTATTTACACATCTCATTTCAATGGAGATTAATTGGCTCTGCCGCCTCAGTCATGGTCTATTGATGGATGTTTTGCATAGTTCACATGTTAAAGTTTGTAATTAGATCAGTTTAAGAGGAACCACTTATGTTAAGTCAATGATATTCGGTATGCAGTTGTATAAATATTTGCAAGTCTCTTCTCCATTGAGATTATATGGCCCCATCCCCTCATCATGGTTCATTGACTTTGGAACTTTTACATTTTTCACAAGTGAAAGTTTGTGTTAGTGATAGTGTAAAGGGCACTTAAGTCCATGGTATTTGGTATGCAGTTTTATAAGAATGGATATTTTTCATTTTCATTGAGGTCATTTTGTCCTGCACATTAATCATGGTTCATTGACATTGAATGTTTTGCATAGTTTACATGTTTAAACATTGCCATTTGGATTCAATTTTTGGATTATACTACTAAAATTACAAAAAGGCGAGACATATCTATTTGTCAACAGTTTAATTTTTTTTTGTTTTCAAAGTTATTTGTCAGCTGCTGTTTTCAAAATGGCCATCAAAATATGTAAACATTTTATTGACTCTTACCATGCTGAATTGTTTTCAGAAAATGTTTAATTTCCGTTTATTTGCAAATTTATTTATTTGGGGTGATGATGTGGGATGGGTTGGGATAAGCTGCCTCGAAAAATCCGGATTTTTTTAATTTTCCCTGATTTTTGGCTTCACCTGAATCTGCAACCGGAATTAGTTGTTCCCTAATCGCATTTCAATACTAAACATGATCAGTAGTTATATGCCCACGGGTTTACACTAATTTTGTAATTTTTAGGCACTCTAGGGAAGCCCACCCCTCCTGGAAGAACAGTTTTATTCAATTTAAATTTTCGAAGTTCATATTTTGGCTTAAACTGCACCTTAAACCTGAGAAACATGACAATAAATAACCTTAGGTTGAGGGAACATGCATCAATTTCAAAACTGATATCATACAGTTGACCTATTAAAGTATGGAGAGCCATGGAGCAAAAAAATGGTATTTGGGTAGAGGCTGTAATATTTCGGACCCCGTACAGTAAAAGGTTACAATCCACATAATTTAACATTAATTGAAATATTATATCATCAATTGATGTCCAGTGTAAAAATGTATCTGTTGGCTCCAATATTCAAAATATCTGATTATTGTCATTTTCAAAATGGTATGGTTTTAAGGTTAATACAATAGAAATTAATGGAAATATGTGTATTTTGTTAGGCACTACATTTCATGATTCATTTGGAAACCTTGAAATCCACAAAAATTGACACTCCAGGAACTTGTATTGCTTTGTTTTCACATCAGTATTCATTATTTGCTTCTATGCCCCACTCAAAAATGTGCAGTTTACATTTAAATTATATTCTAAATTAAAGCAACTTAAATATCAAAGAGCATTTTTACATGCTTTGATATACCTGACAATAACAGAAATACCTCAGTATAATTGATTGTTCTTCTGCCTGTATTTCTACATTTTTGTGTTTCAAATTATTTTTATTTTTAATCAACTTATTCCACAGAGGTTTTTTAGGAATTTCATAATCACTTTTTGCCATGCTTAACATATACAAATATATATTTATATTGATATTTAAAAGTGTGTTTTGGATGGAGAGTTGTCTCATTTTCACTCATACCACATCTTCCTGTTTCTATTTGTAAATATTTTAGAGCAGGTTCTCTGATTATTAATACATTTAATAGCCTTTATTAATGAAATTGTCAGCAAAAGTAAGAATCAGATAATTTTACAATGAAATTTCTAACATAATGTATTATTCATAAATCTAGAATGCTGACTTTTCTCAAATGTCACAAAATATAACAATAATCATTTAACTGATTATTGGGTGTATATATAATTTATGACAAGTTCCTACAGCGAAATGACCAACGATTTACAAATGATACATGATCCCTAAGGAAATTGACATGATAAATGGATAAACGTAAACATGTAATTGCATGAAAGTCTTCATAATATCTTCTCTCGTTATTGGAACTTTTAATATCCTCAGAACATATCTTAAAGAATTATTAAACGTTTGACTTGAGCTTGAAAATGTTTTGGCTCTGAAGCAGAAAAAGCTTTGAAATATTGATGTCTTATTTAAAACAGCTCTGAAAGATCAAAGAGTTGTTTGTTGATTTTAGTATTATCACACTACCTGCTAATGAAGTTTGTATAATATATGCATGGGTCAACATCATAGTTACCATTAATTGCTTGTGAAGAATCTCACGTAAACTCTAATCACATGTAATTATCTGTTGTTAATTCCATGTCATTCTTATCAAATTTCATCTCTTTTCTCCAGTTATTTCCATTGATTTTTAAATTTGCAATAATTCAGGTAATATTCAAGTTTCAAATAAAAAGTTGTTTTTCATATCTGTTTTTATACAACCGCAAAAAAGTTGTGTTTGTATATTGCTATCATGTCGTCGTTGTCCAAACACAATTTATTTCTGGACAATAACTTTAGTATAAGGGAATGGATCTCTATGAAATTTAATCACAAGGTTCAATAGCACAAAAGGAAGGTTGGGATTGATTTTGGGAATTATGGTCCCAACTGTTTAGGAATTAGGGGTCAAAAAGGGGCCAAAAAAGGTATTTTTCTAGTTTTCAGATAAATATTTAAGTATTAGTCAATGGATCTCTATGAAATTGTACCAAAAGGTCCATACCACATGCAGACGGTTGGGGTCGATTTTGTGGGTTGTGGCTTTAATTGTTAAGAAACTAGAGGCCAAATAGGGGCTAAAAACAAGACTTGTCTAATACTGGCTAAGCTGGTTCTAACATAAATTATTTCTGATCTATATAAAGAAACAACAAATACTGATATGGCAGGAGATACACACCAAACAAGGTGTGTAAATTATTATATCTAGTTTGTAAACAGATTTAACAAGTATTGCGCAACAGCAAAGTATTGCACAACAGCAAGAAATCTTCAATTGAAAATAAATACAAATCTTTTAACCAATTTCAATGAGGATTAATTTAAAGTCTTGAATTGTTTGAGGTTTTTACCATGTATATTGGATATTTGGACATTTTTAAATAGGTCCAAAGGGTCCAACATTAAACTTTGTTTGAATTCATGTTTT